TTCAGGCAATGTGTGAATCTAAGTATTGTATATACTGTTCTTATGTAAATATTTAGTTAGTTAGTCAGATTTACATCCTGCCTTTTCTCCAGGATCCCAAGGCGCTGTACACAGCACTCCTTCCTCCACTCCTTCTCACAACAGCCTTGTGGGACAGATTGGGTTGAGAGAGGATGACTGGCTTGAAGTCAGCTAGTTAACCAGCTGCCAAANGGACTCAGGGCGGCTTACAGCCAATTAAAAACAGAACAATCGATACAAATCTACAAAATTTAAAATCAATTAAAAGATATATTCAATAGGCCTATTCATATTTTAAAATTAATTAGAAACCAATTTAAAATGTCCCTAGGCCAGTCCTGCCTGCTGAAACAACCATGTCTTGAGGGCGCGGCGGAAGGAGGGGAGATCCAGAATCAACCGGATCTCTGGGGGCAGCTCGTTCCAGAGGGTGGGGGCTCCAACAGAGAAGGCTCTCTCCCTGGGGGTCGCCAACCGGCACTGTCTGGTTGACGGCACCCTGAGGAGACCCGCTCTGTGGGAGCGTATCGGCCGGTGAGAGGTGATCTGTGGCAGAAGGCGGTCTCGGAGGTAGCCAGGTCCGATGCCATGGTGCGCTTTAAAGATGATAGTCAACACCTTGAAGCACACCCGGAAGGCCACAGGCAGCCAGTGCAGCTCGCGCAGCAGCGGTGTTACATGGGTGCGACGAGTCACTCCCATCACTGCCCGCGCGGCTGCATTTTGGACTAGCTGGAGCCTCCGAGTGCTCCTCAAGGGGAGCCCCATGTAGAGAGCGTGTGAAGAACTATTGCTTGTTTAGTGTAGACCAATGGTTCTCAACCTGTGGTTTGTGGACCCCTGGAGAGAGGCACAATGTCATCATAGGGGGTCTGCGATGGCTTGAAGAAATGTTATGATTTAAATCTTGAGTTAAGTCATGGGAGTCCATGGCAACAAAAAGTATTTAAAGGGGGTCTGTGGTGACGAAAAGGTTGAAAACCACTGGTGTAGATAATATTGGACTAAATGGACCTATGCCTCTCCCAATCTTAGATTTGATGCAGATTAAATATCATCTGCAGATGATACAGAACTAGAGTAATTTGTTATTTGATCTGTGAAAATTGCCCCTGAAGCTTTTCATTGTCGTCCAAAGGGAGTCATATGTTGTGCGTGTATTTATGTTTTCTTAAAAAACAGCATAGAGAAAATGTTTAATCTTTTCTCCTCCAATGCTGTACTATAAATTTGAATAGCCTCCCTCATTTGGCTGCTTAAACATACTTGTTCCTGTATCCCCCAAAGCAGTAGTGGGATTCAAATATGTGAACAACCTGTTATCTGTGTGGATGCCACTTCCGGAAGTCCGTTCTGGGCCTGGGCAACAAAAAATTAGCTACAGTTCTGCCGAAGTGGTGTGAACCGGCTGAATCCCACCACTGCCCCAAAGAAGTTTGTAGTGAACAGCTCCTAACATTATTTAAAAGACATCCTAAAAATGAAGGAACCCCAACTCTTTTCTTCTTATGTTTTGTATGTATGCAAGAGTATGTATGTAAAAGAAAAGAGAATGGAAAAACAAAGATGGAGTTAGAGATGAAAGTCAGTGCTATCTAGAGTGCCTCCCTCCCCACCATAGATAAGGAATGACATCCAAACCCACAAGGACATCTTCTAATTTAGAAGTATAACTAGCATTTCATAGGAATGTTGATGAAAGTGGAGCTTCTGTGAATATGGAGAAGAGGAAACATAAAGATGCAAGAGGACAGTTTAGTTCCTTTCATTTTGCAGACATCAAACTGAAAGGGAATTCTTTTCAGTAATCTCATTGAAAAAAATAAGAGAACCAATCTGGTCTAGTGGTTAAGGTGCTGGTATAGAAACCGGGAGTCTGTATGTTCTAGTCCTGCCTTAGCCATGAAAGCCAGCTGGATTATCTTGAGCCAATCACTTTCTCTTACCCCGTCCACCTCACAAGGTTGTGGGGAAAATAAGAGGAGGAAGGTATGTTGAATATTTTTGCCACCTTGAGTTATTTGTAAAAATAATAAAGGGTGGGATACAAATAAATAAATCATCATCATAATCTATATAAATAAATATATAAATGTTCGTTTGTTCAAAATCTTAAATCTCCGAAAGTTCTTCACCGATTGCTTTGAAATTTTGACACAACATTGCATTCGAATACGCGCGTGTCTTTATATACCTACTATTATATAGATGTCACACCTGTGACAGGTAAAAACATGCTTTTTTTGAAAAACAGCGCCATCTGTTGGACGTAAAAGCAACACACTTCTTTTCCATTTAACCAGACTGAGCCACAACAATGCGTGGATGCATTATTATTTATTACAGCTAGTAATAAATAATAATGTAACTTGAAAAATACATTTTATTTCTTATTGTATCTCCTTTCACCTAGTCACTTTCTGGCTAAACCAAACATAAATTATGTCCTAGTAAAATGTAGGTGGGTGATTCCATTAGCTCTTCAGAATTTTTTCCCAGTGGATGGGATTTTAATTTTACCTACTTTCCTTTACAAAGGGACAAATATTCTTTAGAATGTAGTGCTTCCAGATAGGAATTCATGTTTACTTCAAGATGTTAAAAAAAATATCTGGAAGACTAGATTTTACAAAACAAAACTAAACAAACAAAAATAGAACTGGAAGCTGCTAATATATATTTAAACCATTGTTCTGATTTATTGGATGTGAGTTATTAAATCATTGAGGTATGACCAAATCAAGTTAAACATTGCTAACAAGCCAAATATTTGCAGATATTAGATAACCTTGTGCTCAAACAATTATTAGATTTAAAAAATAGCACTCTTTTTATTTGGTTAAATTTCTTTACAGTCATTTAAATGTATTGCTATATTAAAAAAATGAACAGGAATAATTGGCCTTGGAACTCACATGCATCCAGAGGTGTCTTCTTGTTATCTCTGTGGCCCTATCTGTAATATATAGTATTTGTTTCTAAGTTCCTCAGGTTTTGCATTATTTAAAGTTTAATGGATGGATTGATTTTGGACATAGTGTGAAAGTGTTCCTGTTTCTTATATGAAAGCTAAGTCCTGTGAACAGAATAGTAGGGGGTACAATTTTCAGCAAAATGTGAGGAAAAGAAGAACTTAGTCATTGAGTGAAGAGATAATGGCAACATATTTTAAATTGCAAAAGACTAAGAAATATATCCTAGTAAGATAATTTTTTAAAAAAACTAAGGAAGATAAGAAAACAACTTTTGAAAGATCATCTCCATAACTGCTAAGTGCTGAGAGAAATAACAATGTTTATAAATAGTGTTTCCTGCAATGAACATCATTCACACAGGATGGTCTGGAATACCATTTTCAGATACAAGGATCATGATACAGAAAAATATGTTTAGATCTGCAGATTATTCCTCCCTACAAGGAAGATTGTGGGGAGGGGCTTAATTTACACTAGTGGTTTTCTTTCCTTGTAATTTGGTCCATCAATATTGTCCCCTTCCCATTCAGCTGGTAATATTTATTTCTTTTCCTGTATTCTCTTTTAAATGGAAGAAGCTTCTTGGATGAGAAGTGAAACATTTTCAAAGAAAAAAACCCAAGGAAGTCCAGTTGCCTTTTGGAAAAGCACCTTTGGGACAACCATGACCTGTATTGAGAATCTCCATAAACTTTAAACTTCTATATCACTTTTTTCAAAGACTCTAGTTTTCTTGTGTTACCAATTAATATATATTTCAATCTAGCAGAAATGTAAATTTTACTAGTGGGCGTATCAAAAATTATTTTTAAAGTATTTTCACTCATCTTCATTTTTTATCTGGAGAAAAGGGATTTTGCCAAGAGAAAATTGACAGATTTCCCTGAAGGCTATTTTCAAGATGCATCTATGTAGCTATGAATTATTACATAATTTTTAATTAAATTTGATTCTTGTTACTTATGAAAATGAACATGCGATAGATTTTTTTTCTTGTGTGTGTGTGTGTGTGTGTTTAAAAAGGAAACAGTATGAATGAAGGGAAAATAAATCTGGATTCATTGAATTTCAATAGAATTGTACTGCTGACACAGCAGTTGCAGTCCGACATAGCTATAACGATGTGTATGAAATGGATGCACTTTTTTAAAAGTATGATTTGAAGCAGAGGTATGACTTCTTATGTCTTCTATAAGTATCACTACTTTACTGTGACTTGTGACATGTGCTTTCATTGTAAACATATATAATAAGATGCTCAAGATTCTTTAATGCTCAGTCTGCTTCTCAAGTTACCATTCTGTGCACTGAGGGTACATAGAATTGGATCACATTATAAAACAAACCTTTGTACTGTATTAATACTGAACAGTATTTTGAATAAATATCAGTATCATGCTGCATGAGTTTCTGCCAAGGTTTTTCCAAAGTATTGTATGACAAAACTTTCCACAAATGGATATGCTGTATAGAAAAAAAGGCAGTGAAGCGGTAAGTTTCATAGTAATCATTAACGTCTCCTTTCATGATGAATAATGTTCCATCCTCAAACTACGAAATGGTTTATATAACAATTTAATTTCACAGTTATTTATGAGAACATCAAAATGATACCCCAACTGCATTTTATAAAAAATAATCTAGGTATGTGCGCCTTTGATCATTGTCACTACACAGAAACCTAATAAAGATGCTTTGATAGTTTGAAAAATGAACACCAACACAGTGTACACACCAATGAAGATGATGAGAGTTATAAGGAAATATGTTTAAAAGGCTTCAAAGTAAAAAGAAAGTAATATACTTCAAACCTGTATTTCTGATGTTCCAATTAATGCATTTCAATAAAACATGAGCTTGTTGTAGGAACAGATAGAATACAGAGAGAATAAAAATGTATTAAATGAAGGTGAAGAAAATGGGCAGGCATGTACTTCATTGTGGATTTTGGCTGGTTAGTTTCTTCTGAAGCTGTGAAAACAGAAACAATAAAAGATGAATATAGTTGTTTCTCATCCAAATGATTTGGCTCACAGTGTGTCTGCTTGGGATACATTTCAGTAGAAGGCCCTCTAGTCTCTCATGGAGATGATGTGGTTCACACTTATCTTTCCTTTCTCAGCATTTCTCCGAGAGCTTTGACCACTTCTCTGAGAACATGGAGGACTTTTCCAATGAACTGTTCAACAGCTTCTTTGATGACCCCATGCTGGTGGAAAAGAACCCTTTGCTGGACATGGATCTGGATCCTCCCACTCCTGGCATCCAGGCAGAGCACAGCTACTCCCTGAGTGGAGACTCTGCTCCACAGAGCCCTCTTATGCCTGTCAAGACAGAAGAAAATGCCAGTGGTGAGTAGAAGAACCCTGAAGGCTTTGATGCAGAAGCATATGCCCAAACTGCATCAAATCCTCTGCTGATGTGATAGAGAAAGGATGATATTGACACAGGCAGGTCCAATATGTGTTTCTTCCAAAGCACTTCTTGAAAGCAGACATCATCTGCTGTTAGCAAACTGCCCCTGCTTCCTGTGTCATTAAAAGCAGTCCAGAGTTAAAATTGGTTCCAGGCAATTAATCTAATCCATTTTTAACTGATTTGAATCATCTAATGATAAGACAGCTGACATTATTCGGTTAGCTATTGGAAATAGAAAAAGAGTCAAGCCAGACCGGAAATATATATAGGTTTTATCTGCCTGCTAACATTCTCTCTCTTTGGAATGTATTATCAGGAAGCCCCACAAGCTATCTGGGGAAGATGAGTGGTTGTGCTTAAGCCAACTAAGGGATAGTTCAAGAAAGGGGGAGAGGGGAATAATGGAATACTACACTGTTTAAACATGGTAATTAGGAAGTGAGTCCAATTGAATACAGTAGGACATACCTTTGAATAAATATGCACAGGACTGTGATACACATATCAACAAGCTGAAATTAGAAACTAAACTTCCCTTTTTTATAATCTCTTTTGTTGAAAACAGCAATAATGGAGGAAATTGAAATAGAGATTTTTTTTTTAAAAAAATAAATAAGCAGGGCTCTGATATAAAAAAAATACTAGCGTTGACCTTTAATTTCTCATCAGGGTCTTCAAAAACAGACAAAACATGGGTTTTGGCCTCATGAGTCACAGCAAAGAGCCAATAACCCACTGTTTTAAGAGATGAGAATGCTTACTGTCTTACAGTCATTTAATATAAAAACTGACTATTTAAGTCCTGGATATTGTCCAAGAAACTGACCTCTCACTACCTCTCATTATTCACACAACATTATTGTAGACATATTAAAGCAGTGTTCTTTGCCAAAGAGGTTTTTCTTTTAACTGAATAATGCTAAATAAATTAGTTCCCTTGAGGAACTAATTCTGATTTGTTTCTGGTTCCTTCTATCCACTGTTTCCATTCCTCAATCTCTGAAGAGTTTGAAACTGATCTACGATTGCCCCCATACAAACACCATGAGCCTGGTGAGCTGTCACAAGTCCTAGACCAGGGGTAGGCAACCTTGGCTCTTTTATGACTCGTGGACTTCAACTCCCAGAATTCCTGAGCCAGCTTGGCTGGCTCAGGAATTCTGGGAGTTGAAGTCCACGAGTCATGAAAAAGGGCCAAGGTTGCCTACCCCTGTCCTAGACCAGCAAAAATCCAAAAGAGAAATTGCTAGTATTCTCTTCCTAAATTCACATTTTCAGTATTTGATACTGTGTAGATTCATTTGGTCTTTTGCTAAATGAATATGTAAGTGGCAATATTTGCCATGACAGAAAAAAATCCTGCAGCAAAGCCACCATTCCTTCTGCATTTAAAAGCGTCCTGTAAGCTCTGGTGGTAAAATTACAGCTAATAGCAAAGCTGCAATCAGGCATTTTTATTGATAGCTATAATCATAGCTGCAGGTTCCTGCAGTGGCAGAAGTGCTCCATATTCACAAAAGGGTGCCAAAGTCAGGAGTTGTTCTTCATTGTAGACAGAAACTAGGGAAAAAAATAATAGCTAAATTTTGCTTAAATACAAGAAATTACTTTATGATAGTAATATTTATATATGAATGGAGCAATTTACCTATGGAGGTTATTATTATTGTTCAATGCACATTCAGCCAGATGTTTAGACTGGATTTGCATTTTTACTCACCTATTGAGTCCTTTCCAAGGACCTGGGATAGGCAGATACTGTTTGATGGTATTAAAAGTATTGTTGCAGGATGTAAGCTTTTCCAACTAAACTGTCTTTTGCAATTGGCTAGTGGTGATTTTGAATGCTGATGGTGTTCAAGTGGTGCTCCAGATATTTTGGATTGCACCCAAGGAGCCTATTACTATTGTTATTAACTTTGCTTTCTTTTACTACAATCATTCTACTTCTATTTGCAGGTCTTTGTATTTCTGATTTTCTCCAGTTCTTTCTCTTCTGTTTTGCTGTATTATTATTATTATTATTATTATTATTATTATTATTATTATTATTAGTAGTAGTAGTAGTAGTAGTAGTAGTAGTAGATTAGTATTATTAGTATTATTAATATTATTCCTATGAATCTGTTAATTTATTATTCTTTCTGGCAAAAAAACCCTCTTAATTTCTTCTTCTCTTCCCTTTAAATCAGGGATGGATAACTTCTAACATGAATATATTCCTTGAGGAGGTCTCCTGGTCTTGTAGTTCCTCTCTCCAATTCTGTCCTCTGTTCCTTCCATGTATCTCCTCTAATTTGTGAGCAGAGGAAATTTGGACCATAAGTGTGTCCATGCAGGTTCAGGTTTAAGGATTGCAGGCTTGGAATGCATTGACCCTTTCTACTTTGGCTATAGGTATATTCTGATGTGCTTGTCTACAATTAGTCTTACTCATAGGCTGAAAATTGGTTGGCCAGTTTAACTCAATTTACTAGAGCATAAGCACTGAAGACAATTTCATGTGTGATAAAAAGGGAGAGATTTTCTTTCCTTCCCTTTTCTCCTCAGCTCACAAGAAGAACCTACAGAAATCCTTATGCTTTCCATGTGGCACTAAAATACTCGTTTCGTAAACTGAACTGACTTTAGAAAAAAGTCATTTCTCTGTCTGACCTTGTGGCACAGAGGAGTAGGTAAACTGGTGGAACTTATTTGATTCCTGAGCTGTGTCCTTCAGGTCAGTCTGCCTCCCTGAATGTTGAGTACTTCCCAGCCCACTGATCTAAGCCTCAACATCAGGCCTGCTCCATTAAATAAAGCTGGGCTCCATATACTAAAGCTTAAATGGCTGGGTTTTGCCCTGAAAAGTTCTGTAATACTCACACTGAAAAGGAGGTTAAATAAACTATGTCAATTTACCCTCTTTTTCCCCACCGCCAAGCTCTGGGCGGCCTCTGAGAGGGACCCTGAGGTGGTTGGGTGTGGATACAAAGAAATCAGCACCTTCCCTGATCCTTCTGTCTTGGGTGTAGACCGAATGAAAGCTACTGCTTACAGTTAATCCTTATTGGCACATGTAGAGGCCTAAGTGGGCTTCTGTTTTACCAGCAGATTTCTCTGCAGGAGATGGAGAGGCACAGTCATTTCAAAACCTATTTTTAAAACAATTCATTTTAGGATGATTCATGACGACAGGATATTTTTAGAGCAATCCTAGCAGAGGATCCTGTTATTTGTGGGACCCTGTGGGTGTCCGAGTGGTTGAAGGACAACTGTCAGCCCGAAAAGGAAATGGCACAGATTCAGTATATACAAGAGAAAAAAGACCTTTCTTTAAAAAAAAAAAAAAAAAAGCTAAAAAACCATAAAAGCAGGGAATGTTTCCCCACAGTGGTCAGAGATTATCCTGGCTGAACGTTGCCAGACATCAAGAAGAGAAGGGGCAAAAAGCACTATAATTTTTTCATAGGTCATTCTTGCTTGGTCCTGCTCCAAAGAAATATCCTGCCTCCTTGTAGAACTGTTACCGAACTATCTCACCTCAGGCTATAGATGAGGGAGGACAGTTACTCTCCCAAACCCCCTCAATATCTAGAAGAGATATATTTTAGTAACATTGCTGGAAAAGGAGCACTGGAGCACTAGTGTTCATAGAATGTCACGTGCTGCTTGTTTCTGGATATTCCATTCTATTCCTCCTTCCCTTCCTCTTCCCTCTTGTTCTTGCTCTCGGTTTTCCTTCACATCTAACATTCTGTAAATATGGTTATTTGCAATGAAAATGATGCAGCATACTATTTATATATCCAGGTGCTAATTATGAGTTCTGTTATAAAGTCTTCTAGATGTTTGTTCTGTTATAAAGTCTTCTAGTTCGGGGATCCCCAATCCCGAGTCCGTGGACCAGTACCGGCCCGTGGCATGACAGCTACCAATCCGCACAAACAAGAAAAGCCCCATCCACAGGATGCAGACAGCACACAAAACCACACCCCCTCCAGTCCGTGGAAAAACCTCTCTCCACGTAACCAGTCCCTGGAGCCGAAAAGGTTGGGGACTTCTGTTCTAGATGTTAATATAAATGCTTATAATATAAAGGGTCGTGGGCTTAGTACAAAACCCTCCCAAATCCTTCCTTTTCTAAGCCAAAGAGTTAACTAGGGAAGTGGAATTACCAGTAAAACTGGAGATGGAAGGAGCCTTGCATCTTTTAGAAGCATCATGCCAGCTACTTCATAGTGGAATGCAATTCTTTTAGAGCATGATAAGAACATCATGGCTCTGAGCAACAGCACAGAAGAATGGAGATTGAGAAATCTGGGAAGAAGCAGCATGGAAGAAGAGATGATAAAAGGCAGCTTTCTCTGACAGTTCTTCTCTCTTCAGTGACCTTATGCAGCTCTGCAGAGAGAATTAACGGCTCTCTAATAGTTATAATAATACCATTTGCTGCATGCACACTCACAACTCTCATTCCCATCCCCAAAATATTTAACTATGTAATAGGAATAACCAAATTGTTTTGAAGTTTAAAAAAAATTGAGCTCAATATATTCTGCTTCAAATGCAGAATACGTCTCTCAACTTAGGAAAGGGTTATTCTGACCATCCTGGAAATATTTGGGACTTTGAAAGAGTCCTGGTTCAAATTTGAAATAGACGTTTTGAGTTGGAAATGGGACTGTTTTAAGCTCAAAACAGAATGGTAGAAACAATCTGTTTTGAACTTCTTTGGGCACAAAATGTTTTTAATTTAAATCTCTCTCTCTCTCTCTCTCTCTCTCTCTCTCTCTCCCCCTCCCTCCCTCCCTCCCCCCCCTCTCTCTCTCTGTGTGTAAAAGAAATTGCTCAAGCCAGAATTCTAGACAACCCTAACATAGGATCAGACAGCCATTTTTTCACCCTTTGGAGCTATAATTATTTTTGGGAAATCCTTTCTGAGCTTATATAAGGATCACATATCTATTAAAAAGGCTTTCTCAAAGTATTGGCTTGCCATAACATTCCAGACTTTATACCTACAACTTAACCCCGTTGAAGATTTTCTTCTGCCTGATATATCTTGCATTCTCTGATTCTTGGATAAAAATCAAAATAGGTGAATATAGTTTCTAAAATACATTCTAACCATAACGGTTTGTTTCCATTGCTCTTCTCATCATGCATTTGCTCCTTACGTTCAGTCCAAATCCAGCTTCCTATAAACTTTAAGATCTAACCTGCTTGGTAGAACTATATAGTCTTCTACAGTCATGTGAAAATAAAGTACACTCTCTTTGAGTTATATGGTTTTACACATCAGGACATAGTAAAAATCATCTGGTCCTCAGCAGTTCTTAAAGTAGGTAAATACAATTTCAGATGAATAACACCTCATGACATATTACACCATGTCACCGTTCATTTTACAAAAAGAAAGTCAAAATGAAGAAGTCGTGTGTGAAAAAGTAAGTACACCCTACGATTCAACAGCTTATAGAACCATTTTTAGCAGCAATAACTTAATAATTTAAAGTCATTTTCTGTATGACTTTATCAGTCTCTCACATCGTTGTGAAGGAATTTTGGCCCTCTCTTCTTTGCAACATTGTTCAAAGAGGATGTACTGTACTTACTTTTTCACACGACTGTATGTGACACCCAGGCATGCATTTCAAGAAGGCTATTATTATCATTCATTTTTTCTCCAAATTAACCTCAATTATTTTACCTTTTCCTGTATTGCTCTTGTCCTATGTAATACTGAATTATCTTTATGCTTTCCTCTGAATCTTAGTTTTCTTAAAGTATACTTTCCAGAACAGTATATACTGTATATCCTAATGAAGAACTTCCTTATTTGTATAAGAGTTGCTGTATGGATTTCTACTCTTTTGAGGAAAGTATTTCCATATTGATAGCAACATTACACTTTTTCTCTCTTAGTACAGTGGGGAACCCCTTAAACCCATATTCCATTTGTAATCCTAGAATACCCTGAGATCATGCTACCTAAGATGATGGCAAAAATGATTGAATTGGAGCAGTGCACATTCAACTTAAATAATGAAAATAATATTGAAAACAGGATTAAAAGTCGTCTGAAGAATGAAATGTTCACATTCCTGCCCTTAAACTCCCGAAGTGCTGAACTTTTAACTGCTGAAATTTGGAAGCAAAATAAACACATTTCTGTGAAACTGTTTTTGAGTTTAAAATAGGACAATAAGGATGTGTTGGGAGCAAAATGCTTCTTGGAAGTCAAATGCTGTTATTTCCACCCTTAATACCCCACCCTGGCTTGCTAGAATCATGCAAAAAAAAAAAAGTTAGACCTAGTGGATCTAACCCAGAAAACATTGTCCATCCTTGTTTTAAAGAAACTTCTTGTATCAATCTACTAACATACTTTTTTCATAAACAGTATAGGACAGACTACCCTGACAGAATAGATTCATATAGGAGAGATCAATCATCTTATGAGATATCAGTCTTTTTTAAAAAGTTTAAATATTGTCAAAATGTGGTTGGATTTAATCTTTGAGGTCTTGTGACATTTCAGGTGAGGCTGGTGAAGTCTGGTAAGATTTGGTGATCTTGCAGAATTTTTCCATTTCTTTTTTAAAAAAACCTCTAAAATTGTTTAAACTGAGGCATAATGCCTAAAATGGCTGTGCTGTGCTGGGCAAGGCTTTAGTGTAGCCTTCGGCCTGGAAATTGTAGCATATCCCTGTATTAGAGTTTAATGGACTATATTTTCTGTTCTGAAACAAAGAAAAGCTGATTGTGGTGCTTCTTAGCTGCAAAATCCTTGTTCCTTCAGGTTTACTTCTGTCGTGGAACAGAACACACCTCATTATATGGTACAATGTTTCTCATAGACAACGGTAATACGACCTGACTGTCATGTGCTTCTTTTCTCAGAACTGGAAAATGGTATGTGGACACTCCAGCACAAGCTATGTTCCATCATGGTGAAGCAGGAGCAGAACATGGTGCCAGAAATACCTGAAACTCAGCTGCCAACGCATGCAGCTCCCATGATGAATCTTAGCCCATTGCAAAGGTTGCCAGCCCCCAAAGAGGTGAGTTGCACCAAGAATATCTGGAATGATTTGGACCTGAGAATGTGGCATTTTTCATGATTTCTTCATCTTTCATTCTAAATAGAAAGGCTACTACAAGGTGGAAAATAAAATTAAGAAAAAAGTGCCTAGGTAGTCTTTATTTTAATCACTGCTGATTTGAAATAACCACCTTTTAAAAAGTGACGTAGCAGAGAGAAAAGTGGGCAGTTGAAGGATAATTGGACAGAGGACTTTTGATCCTGATTCAGAAATGGCAGATTTTATGGGAACTATACTTACCTTTATTAGGGATGCTAGTCCAAACAGTGGGCAGGATTGTTATGATCAGCGTAAGTGGAAAAATACACCCAAAATAAAAACTATAAAGTGAATCTCCTGCAGAAGTTCTAGAGGTTAACTAGCCCATTTGTTTCTAGCCTAGAACCGTTTTGTCTACAAATAATGCAAACCTTCTGGATGAAGCCAACATCTGAGATAGAATTCAAATTATCTCTCTTCTAAAATAGAATAATTTTAATAATTACAAGATGGCCAATTTCTCAGAAGAGAGGCAAGTTCTAATGTTCTAGGCCAGTGATGGTGAACCTTTTAGAGATCGAGTGCCCAAAAACTGGCCCTGTCCTGCTCCATCCCCTGCCCCGCAGGGCCACTCATTGCCTCCAGGGCCCACCGCAGATTGCCCAGGCAGCCCAGTAGCGCCATGGCAGCCACGCCCTCTCCCCGCGCCCTGCAGCATCAACTGTGCACGATGGGGCATGAGGGCAGAGTCTTGTCTATGCTGCCTGGCTGCCATGTCCTTGGCTGCGCTGTTCCGCATGGGCCATGCTTGGGGGCGACTCTCCTCCAGGGGGGCTGCTGGTGAGGGGGTCACGGACGGAGGCAAGGCTGGGGCAACGGCATGTGTGCCCACAGAGAGGGCTCCGAGTGCCACCTCTGGCACCAGTGCCATAGATTCGCCACCACTGTTCTAGGCCAATCTGATGCAATTATATATTTGATCAATTCCCATCACCACCAGGCAGCATGGGAACATTAAGAGTTATTGTTCAATACATCTGGATGACTGAACCAACCTTTTCATCATTTGCTAGTGATTTTGCAAAGAAGAGGTATTTTTCTATTGAACTATTTCTCTTTATTTTTATTATTTTGTAAAAATACAAATCTTTCTGCTGGTGACATTTCAAAGATGCTTTTCTTTTTTATATTTTTTTTATTCAAGTTTTACAACACAAACAATGGAAGCATTAAGAAAAAGAAAAAAAAAAGAAAAGCAAAAGTATGGAATGAATTGTAATGAAAAAATAGGAAGAAACTTCCCATTTCCTTTTCAGCAACTATAAGTACAATTACAAAATTATCTCTTAATCAGTGATTACAAAAAAACACTTTTTTATTATTCATTTTTTTTCCTAATCATCAAAACCACAAATCATAAGTGCATTTTTCTATTTCATGAAAAAGTCTACAAATCATTTCTAGCTGAACATAAATGTCATTTTTTTCCTCTGATCAAAGTGGTTAATCTCTGCAAGTTCTATCAGCTTCATCAACATTCCTCTGTTGTCAGCCTTTCTGCTTTTGAGCATATAATAATTTTGCTGCAGTTGTCACATACAAAAACAAAGTTCCATGACTTTTTTTCTAGTTGCTTGTCCATTAATATCCACAGAAAAGTATTTGGTTTTTTATTTGTAATTTAACTTTTAAAACCTTCTGAATTAATGTATGTATTTGTATACAAAATATTTAGGCTTTTTTACATGTCCACCAAACATGATAAAATGTCCCTTCATATTGTTCACATTTCCAACAAAGATTCAAAATACATGTATATATTCTAGACAGCTTCTCTGGTGACAAATACCAATGATACATCATTTTATAAAAATTCTCTTTAAGTCTAGAACATAATGTAAATTTCAGTCCTTTCAATCACATACTTTTTCATTGGTCCATTTGTAATCTATAGCAAAAAGTTTTAGCTTATTTTATCATTATACATTCCTTCACTTGTTCGTCTTCTGTGTAATACTATATTTCAACAACTATTTATACTTTTTAGCAATAACATGTTTATGTTTTTATCTACTTGAAACCTTTCTGTCAATTGCACATAAGAAAACCATTGACAAGGTTATCCCTCTATTATCAGATCTGTTGGTTTCATTTTACAGTCCTGTTGAAAAAAATTCAACATCTCAGTAGGCTAGCCATTTATGTTTGCATATTTCTCATCTATAAAATGCTTCTTGTGCTGAAAGTCATAAAGGTATTTTCAGGTAAAACTTCCATTTATATTTATTCCGTACTCTGTTTAACATAACAATTTTTAGTCTATATTCACCTTAAATTTATCATCCCATAAACATCCATGCCACCCAAATCTCAAATTATGATCTTCTATTTTCTAAATTGAGTAATCTTTTATTTCTTAACAAAACCCAATCTATCATCCAAACTAAACAGCAAACTCACGTGTTTTAGTTAAATCCTCATTAATAATTTTTGTGCTATATCTATGAAGCATAAATAGATTTCACCCATTTTATAAAATTCCTCCCAAAATTTATATCTTTCAGAACCTTATGAAAAAATATTTCAGTTGAAATCATTGTGAACAACTAATAACCATTATTCAGTAATGATATTGGTCTGTAATTTCTTACTCAGGTCAAATTTTATTCTTCTTTAAGTATTAATGTTACGTTGGCCTCTTGCCAAGTCTCTGGTATCCCTCCTCCCTGTAGAATATAATTCATTATATTTTGCAAAGGTGGTAAAAGTTCATCTTCAAACCACTTATAATGCGAACTCTAGTATGTTCATCTGGTTCAGGCATCTTTCCTGGCTTACTCTTTTTCATTGCTTCTGAAGCTTTTGTTATCATTATAGGTCCATTCATCATTTGCATTTGTTCATTTCTAATCCCTGGTAGATTTTGTTCTCTAAGACATTCATCTATTTTCTTCAAGACAATATCATGCCCTTTATGCAGATTAAAATAATATCGAAAAAATGGGGTTTTTTTGCGTTAAAACCTTGTGCATTAGTATAGTGTCTTGCTCTTGTAATTTCATTAACATTTTCTTTTTTTCTTTCTCTTCACAGTTTGTAACATAACCATCTCATTGGTTTATTCGCAAATTCAAATTTTATTTGCTCTGCATAATTCAATTTTATTTCAATTTCTCTTATTGTTAACATAGATAACTGTTGCCAACTTCTTTCTGTAGCAACACTTCATTTAATTTCCATCTGAAAGGACTAGATATTCTTTTATAAACCAAATTCACAGAATTATGATCTGAGAAAGTCTTTGGTAAAATATAACAACAGCACTTTCTATGGTAACTAAACATCACAATCTGAGTCACGTCTGAGTCTTTACTCAGTCTTTTGTTTATGGAGAACTTTAGAGATAATTAACAAACATTCCATGCTGGACTACTCACTTTAACCAACTTAGTAATGAATTGTACAAAGCACTTTCATTAAAAGTAAAAATAATAAAAATAAAAATAGCAGAATAAAAAATAAAGACCATCGCCTTTTGTAGATTCTCTTTTAATTGATTTTTTTTGCCAATAAAACTTAAATAAGATCAATAAACCAAAGTTTCTCTTGTATATTTGTAGCCTCAAAAGAAAATTAACTCATCAGCAAAGAATCTTATCTTTGTTGTGAAAGGAAATCTTTCTTCAGCTGTAATTGATTACTTCTTAAAGTGATTAAGAGAAGGGAGAGCAAAACAGTAATGTTTGTAATGACTCTGCTGCCATTATGAGTGTAGATTGGGAGTCTGTAACCTTGACAACTTTAAGACTTGTGGATTTCAGCTCCCAGAATTCCTCAGTTGGTTGAGGAATTCTGGGAGCTGAAGTTCACAAGTCTTAAAATTGTCAGGGTTGCAGACCCTTGGTGTAGATGAATGTCCAGAGCTCTTGAGAACACAGCTCCTGGATCTAGCTGCAAAAAACCTACCCAAATTTGCAGTTTAATCAGAAGGCCCTGCCGTCCAGAACAGTCTGGAACATAGGCGGTTAATCTGCTGATCTCCTTTTGATCCAGGGAGATAAAAGCCAACCAAAAAATCTCCCATCCAGTTTTCAAAAGCTGCAGCAGCTCTCTGCATTTCAGAGAACGTCAGGCTGCCATTCCCCCTCAGGAAGCAACTCCTTGATATTTCAAATATGCTTGTCAAAGAGCATAATTCCAGGATAGTATTCAAGAAGCTGAAATGGAGATGTCAAAATTTAAACAAATCAAATTTTATTTTAGACACATTGGATCGGCCTTCTTATATCATCTCCCTATAAGCCGTTTCATCTGTTGGACTGTTAAGGTACATCAGCTTACTGTATAGACTGTACAGCCCAGCAGTCTTGTCAATGCAAAATCCTTTATAGCTCCTAGAATAGCAATCTAAAGTTAGAAACTTTTAGTCCAGGATATCTGGAAAATACCAATTTTGGGAAAGAGGCTGTATATATTGCAAAATGAGAAATCAGAGGCCCTGGGCCAGATTCAACCCGTGATGTCTTTTCAACCATTCTTTCCCAGTTTTTCCGCTTCTTTTGTTGCTTTTGCCTCTTCTATCAGTTTCAGAATCATAGTCAGAGACATACTGAGTACTTTCAGTAGCCATGGTACAACAAACATTTATTTATTTATTTATTTATTTATTTATTTATTTGCCACCCCTCTCGTGGTTCTAGATTACTCTATGTGGCTTACAATGGGGGCTTACAACAACCCCCCCCCTTCTATTAACCATCCCTATTGAGAAGACCAATGGAACAATAAACGTGTGTGAAATGTCAACAAGGGGCATCTGAGAACTTCTGACCTGGAGCACCAAATACCCTTCCTTGTTACTTGCTTCCCAATCATACAACATGCTTCATTGTAACTTCAATTTAAACTTGTGTAAATTAGAGTGTGGTGTTTCAAGGGATCTCCTGAAAGATATGGTAGTAACTTCCTCCCACTGTGTTTTGCTGCCAATGAGTTAATTCCAAAGGGTTTGTCTGATCAGATGTGGGCCTACAGGTTTCAGAAAATGAACTATGTGTCAATTCAATAAAATCATTTATTCTGCCCTTTGAAAGGTGAGAGTTAGAATCAGTTTCTCATATATATTTTACAGCCTTATTTTTTCCCCTGTGAAGTAAGAGAACTCCCTTCATTTGTACTCAGTTGTGGGTTATCTTCCTTTCACTTACTGTGGATAAAAGTAGGAGGGGAAAAACAAGGATACCATTCAAATCAAACTTGTACACAAAACTTCCTCTGTTGCTTTAACTTTGAACTCCCTGGATTTCCAAATGTAGATCTATGTGGTGTGTGTTTGAAAACCGTATTAACTTCCTTTGCCAGGCTATGTTTACAGTCTGAGACAGCATGAAATATATCTGTTTAATGAGAAAAAAAAAATCTCTGGCATTTGGTGGGAAAAGAAGGCTGGAAAGAGAAGATCACATTGGTGTAGCTGGGAATTAATGACTCTTCATGTTAATTCTTCATCTCCTTTGATCAGAAACAGCTGTTAAATAGCCCTGCAGAAAATCCAGTAAAGAGTAGAGGGTATTCTGTATCGCCAAAGTTTGTGCAAAAGCATTCTACGCAATCCTACAATAGATCAAAATCTGAATAAGTGGACATTTTAGAGACAGGAAGGAGGTAATAGGAAAATGACTGTCAGTCATGGAACACTATCTGTGCAATGCACTCTGTCATCATGCAGAACATCAATTCTGCATGATGTTCACTTTTCTTTACCAGGAGGCTCAAAATTGGTGCAAGGAGCAGATTATTACCATACCACATACCATAATATACAGATGAATAGTAAAAATAGTGTGTAGGTGATCTCTAGAAGGATGATGGTCTTACCACCCTTGTATGGAGCCCTATTGTCTCAGAATAAGAGACGTGAGAGATGTGTGTAGCCTGACCCCAGAAGCAAATGACAAGATACAGCACAATTTTGTTTGTTTGTTTGTTTGTTTGAATTTATATTTCACTGCCCATCTCCCTCATGCGACAATGCTTAGAGTCCTTGCAAATGATGTGATCTCATAGGGAAATTTATGATTCTTCCAAGACAGATATTCAAAAAAATCACTAACCCAATACTTTTCTCATTTGTTTTACAGGCACCAATAGAAATGACTACCCAACCTGTAATCAAAGCTGAACCTAGAGAAGTGAACCAATTTTTAAATGTGCCAACCGGTGAGAAAATTGGATAACTCAATGAGCTTTCAGTGCTCTCCAATCTCATATTATTATTTTTATAAACCGTCTTGCCTTTATGCTATTGGGGTAAACTTTCAGACAAAATAATAATGATGATGATATAAGCACATTCTGCTATAATACCTTTAATACCATCAAACAAACTTATCCCAGGTCTTTGGGAAGGACTGGATTGGTGGGAAAAAATGCCAAATTCAATCTAAACTTCTGGCTGACTATGCAATACCATAGTGGATAAAAATGCCAAATCCAATTTAAACATTTGGCTGACTGTACTACCAACCATAAAAATAATTGATAAATTTTCATGTTGCCTAACTCTCAACAACTCTGGGTGACTTGCAACAATCAAACAACATAAAATTACAATAAAATCAATCAAAGATTAAATCAATCTTTGGGAGAGAGTTGGGCAGCATGCAAATTTAATGTATTATTTTAATCAAAGATTGATTTTCATGAAATTGGTCAATTTGATCAATAGATCAATGATAAAATATGGCGTGACAGACCAGAATATATAATATGAAGTCTCCCTCTCCTTGTCAAAAGCCTGAGTGAAGAATCAGATTTTCATGGCTCTTCTGAACAAGAGGAAAGTGGGGGCCATTTCAGGGGAAACCTAATTCCAGAAGGCAGGAACCACTACCGAGGAGAATTTCTGGGGTCCCAATAGATGACTCTATTTGATCAAAGGAACCCACAGTGCATCAACCCTGCAGAATCAAACTGGCTGGGCAAATTACTATGGGAGAAAGGCAGACCCTTAAATAACCAGTCCCTAAGCCACGTAGGGCTTCATAGGTAGCAACCAGCACCTACATCTATCTCTTCGAAATAGGCTACTACTAGGGTGTGATGGGCATTGTGAGTATGTGGCGTATCAGCAGTGGAAATATTAGATTTACTTCTAATCTTCTTTTATCTAATATTTGCCAGCATTTCTAGAAAATAAAACGCAGATCAATACAACAGCATCTATCAAAATTTACGAACTTATCTATTAGTCATTATTGTAATTAAATTAGAATTTGTCATTTGAATAGGAGCATGTATCTGCCCTGTCATTTTACATAGTTATTTGAGAGAATGCAAGAACAATTCTTAAGAGAGTTGACTTTCATAGCAATTTGATTGGGGCAATTTCCATTTTCTGGATATAATTTTAAAGTGCAAACTTTAAATCATATTCTTTCATTTCAGCAATGTTATGTCTGGCCTAAGTCTGTGAAGTGCAAACCTTCAGGATCAGCCATGTTGGAAAACTGGCTCCTCCTCTTCCTCTTCTTCCTCCTCCTCCTCCTCCTCCTCCTCCTCCTCTTTCCTCCCCATCTTCTCCTTCTTCCTTCTCCCTCGGGAGAAGGGCGGGGTATAAATTAAAGTATTATTATTATTATTATTATTATTATTATTATTATTATTATTATTTCTTCTTTCTTCTTCTCCTCTTTTACTGCTTTGGGTGTTGAGGGACACAAAGTTCTGGCTTTTGCTCTTATGGCAGCCTTAACTATTTTTAATTGATGTTGTTGTAGTGTGTCTTTCATGGTGCCTCTCCATCTTCTTCTGGGTCTTTCTTGTGTTCTTTGACCTGCTCCTCCTTTTGTATATGCTTTGTATGGTATGGAAAGATAGCTCAAAACCCCAAATTGCCAGCCTTTCTGGTGTGAAAATTAGTAGATTGTTGTTATTATTTTTAATAAGTCAACATTTCCTGTAATTTTTAAAGGTTAGGGTTTTTCTTGAGTCCGCCAGAAGACAATTATCTCTTTAGAAGGCAAAGGGCTGGGGAAATCTGTGGTAATTAGACGTTGAAATGTCTTTCCTTAAATGACATTCTTCCCATCACTACAATAACTGAGCACCTTACAAAAACCATAGTCGCTTTGTTAAGTTTTAAGACAGAGATTTAAATGAAGTCAGTAAAAGCTTGCCCAGTTTCAGTAGTCTTACTTGAAACCCAGCCCACATTTCTCTGGCTTTTTTGGATTAGATATTGGCTGCATGTCATTGGAAGGATAATAATGAACGCTGCCAGTTTTTAATGTGCCTGGTAAAAAGATCTTAGCTTTATTTCCAGAAAGATAACAATATCAAGAATTCTGCTTGGCAGTCACTAACACTGCACAGAGGGACCTGTTTAGCCAAATGAACACATTTATTTATTTACTTTAAAAATGTAATGTCCTTCCCAAGTACTGGAAATTCATATTCAAATAAGCAAACAATAATTTACAGAAAATATTAGGCTCGCTCAAATGTTTGGCTCACAATGTATCCCAACAGAACAGGCTTTTAAAAAATAATAATAATAATAATGTAAGCATTAGCAAGAGCACCATCTTCTACCAGCAGGAAATTTAGAGGATCCGTGGGAGAACCAGCAGTTAACAAATCCACGTTCTGGCAAATGACATAGAGAACTTGTTCCAAAAGACTTGTGAGACAACTCCCATGACTGGAATCTAGCAACTGAAGGATATAACTTATTCAGAACGGAATAGATGTAACAGTAGAAATGTTTTGGCTATACACCTGTGCATAAATTCAAGAAAGTGCATGAGGTAGCTCTGTGGAGACCACGTGGAGATGTAGATGATAGAAAAGAAGCAGGGCAGGGAGACAGACATACAAGTTTGCCATCAATATCTATCACATGCTGCTGGACCTAGAACAGGGTTTCCTGAAAGAACCTGTAGATATCTCATGAATGCAAGAATTAAAGGCAATTGATAGCTCCATTGGCGTTGTTATCCATTGTGAGGTAAAGTCCACTTAAGCTTCAAACTCTCTAATTCCTGATGTGCCTCTGGGACAATTTCCTCTTTTAGAAGATAGAGGAAGAAACAAGGAAATCAGCTTCATTTCACTGATTTTATCTTAGCCATAATCAAAGCTCAGTAAAGGAAATCAAAGAAGAAAGCACTTGGGAAAGCTGTAACATCTGTGGGGCTGAGAATCAAAAAAAAGAAGAAGAAGAAGATGGTGGATGTAACCATGTAATTGAAGCCCTGCCCTCTTTTTGTGCATATATGACACACATAACTGTTCAAAAGGGGTAGGATGTCAAATGCACGTTTCTGCCTGCCAAATTGATTTCTTTTAGCCCTTCCCTAGGGATGCCCAAGTACTGCCAATGAACAGCCCCAAAAGTCCCTTAGACCCTGTCCACGAGCATATTTAGTTCCAAGATCTGGATATATCTTAAACCTGGAGGCAAGTTTTTATTTTTATTTATTTATTTATTTTTCACCTTTCCGTGCTGCCCACCTCTCTCAAAGTTTCCACTTATCCTGGAGTATTAGTTAGGCAGTTGAAGTAGGCCTTTTTTTTTTTTTTACATAAAATCAAAACAAGAAAACAAAGCCCATTGGTAAGTAACGATGATGAGATGTTAACATATGATGAAGAGAAGGTGGATCTCCTGTTTTGTTTTTTGTCATTTCCCAAAAAGATTACTGCTTCTCACAAATGAAGGTCCAGATTGCTGTTCAAACTAGTTGGAACTGGTTAGATGTGTAGCCTTCTTTCACCAAATAACTTTTTTCTGCTGTTACCCATGACCAACTTCTGTCTGTTGCTAACCCGTTTTCTGTATTTTTCTGACTTAGATGACTTGGTGCAGATGCCACCAACACCTCCCAGCAGCCATGGCAGTGACAGTGATGGATCTCAGAGCCCAAGGTCCCTGCCTCCCTCCAGCCCAGCCCGCCCTACTGCTCGGTCTTCTACAGCAATCTCTTCTTCTCCTCTCCTCACTGCACCACATGTAAGCAAAGAGAAAAGCGTTAGGTTTAACTGCCATGCCAGGTTGCCCCATCATCTGTATTACCCAGCAATCATTTTAGGAGGGCAGGATTTGAAACTGTTGCTCTATATTCACCCTCACCGAGTACAAATACAGCTTCTGGATGCATTTTTCTGCTCTGCATTCAAAGTATGGTTTTCCTGTCACCTCAACTGCTGCTTTCCAAATTGCCTGTTATGCTTTGTTGTTGTTTTTTTCTAGGCTGACACTACACATTGGCTTCACAGAATCAATACTGATTCCAAATTCTGTAATTTATCCATAGTTCTGGAATAGTCTAAAAACCCTAACATGCAAACAAGATTAGTTGAGGAAACCTTCAAAGTCAGGATTCATTGAGCTACAGGATTATAGGGTCCACGCTGAAGGATGTTCTGGTCCAGGAGACCCGTCCGATCTCTCCTTGAAAACTACCACGTTGCTTAAAATGTTGTGATGTTAATGCTATATTCTTTTGGAGATTGATTAAATACTGTTATATTTGAATGTGCAAGAATTACCTTCCCCCTGTCCTTGTTTTCTCATCCCTTGATAGCCCTCGTGCTCATGTTTACAGTGCTTGTGCTCATGAACGTGAGCCCTTGTGCTCGTGTTGACAGTGCAGGACAATGCATTGCTTTGCACAGAAAAATTGGGGTAAGATTATAATGTATATTTTGGGAAATTGGTTTGCTCTTGCTTTTGTTCCCAGAAACTACAAGGGACTTCAGGGCCCCTGCTCCTAACTGAGGAGGAAAAGCGCACCCTGATTGCTGAGGGCTACCCCATCCCAACCAAGCTTCCTTTGACTAAAGCAGAAGAGAAAGCACTGAAGAGAGTAAGGCGAAAGATCAAGAACAAGGTCTGTTATTCCAACTATACAAGACTAGTAAAGAGCAGTGCTAAGAGAGGCAGGGGTGAAGTATATATGTAAATATACATGCAGGGATTTCTTTGATTTCTGTTCACCCAGTAATATTTAATCATGCAATGATTGGCCTTTTCAAAGCCACCTTATTAATTTAGGAAGGAATCAAGAATATGAAGGAGTAATTTTTGGAATTCCAACATAAATTGACTTTTGATCATCTAACTACTGGCCTGCCGGTTTACTCACTTGCCTATCTATTTCTCTGTTCCATGTCATCAGTGGGCAAACTGCTTGCAGAAAATATATCCCTGAGGAGATTGTAATCTAAAATTCAACATAGGGGAAGCTAAAATAAATAGAGACTGGAGAAACAATAAAGTAACTAACAGGGACTTAGTAGTGAAAAATCTTAACATTACTATAAAGTAAGTGTATACATATCAAGATAAGGCTTCTTCATATCCATAAACTTACTTCTCCTTGCCTTGTGTAAGTACCTTTATTTTAAATAGACAAAAAGTTAAGGAGAAAAGCCTCAGATGGATAGGAACTCCTAGATAGTTACATAAATAGAAAGTATTTATTACAATCAAAGAACTACACTTGTACCCTGAAAAAAAATGACCTTCTCTCACTCATCATTCCTCTTTTCCCATCCAACTCTATTTATGTATTGCTACTCCACAAGATTTATTCACAACTTCCCCAAGTCATCTGCCATCACTGCAACATTGCTTACATGTATAAACCCACATGGCTGCACGGAACTGGGTTCAAAAGCAATACAGATAGCCATCGTCTTATGACCATAATTGGGACTAGAAATTCCGTCACTAAGTGATGCAATTGTTAAGTGAAGTGTACCTGATCTTATGACATTTTTTGCTGTGGTTGTTAAGCGAATCACCATGATCATTAAGTGAAGCAAGCAGGTATTAACTGCAACTTCTTAACTCAAATGCACCTTTATGTGGGATTTCAGTATACCTCTGGAGGACAACCAGATATTCCTTGGAATTGCTGCTTTAAGAAATTGCAGACAGATGTGTATTCATGTATTTTATATACATATTCATAGAATTTCCTGAGTTACACTGGGGAAAAAGGCATAGATAACCAGTTTGATGACATTTGAACACCTATGTGCCCTAATGTTCTAAAACGCTAAAGACACTTTCAAATCCAGCTCAACTCCTTATGGCTGTGTTCATGCACTTTTCATAGCAATATTACAGAAAAGGTTTGCCACTGTTTGCTTTTGGAATTTTGTATTGTTCTGAATTCTCAGAGAGTTCTGCATCTAAATATTATTTTAGGGTAACCCTACTTAGGTTCTGAAATCAATAAAGATCTGCTAGGAACTGCCATGTGCTTTGGAAACGAGACAATTTTATTTTCATATCCCCCTTTCCTCTTCCCCTTTCTTATGCTCATATATTATATGAACTTGGAGAGAGTATAAATATACCACTATATCAAGAAATATTTACCTCATATTACTGTTTTGTTTTGCATTCATAATGTACAACATTTAAACTTAGTTCCAGCTGGTTGCCCAAAAAATATTTTTTACTCAAGTGAATTTAGAAGCAAATGTCTACAATACTGATTCTGAATAAGAATGAATCTGCAAAGTTGAATGTTCCATAGCAGCATGAACTATTACAAATATTTTAAAAATCTAGTTAACATTTAACTTTTTTCTGAAATCTGCAAAAGTGTATTTTGAAATCTTTTCAAAATACACTTTTGAAAAGAAAATGCTTTGCTGAAAATAGTGTACTAATGAAATAAAAAGGTAAATATACTCCAGGCAAATATCTGGACCCATACATTTAATTTTCTTACCAACAGTCTTATCAACAGTATGGAGGTAGTTTTCCATTGTCTTCATCTAGAATAATATTTCAGTTTCCCAACTCTTGAACCATTATTAGTAATATTTAACTTTGGGAAAGGATGTCTGGAAAATCTGAAAGATTGCAAAAAAACCTTTATTAAACTGCAATTGTGGTCAGTAACTCAGACAATAAACTGGATAGGATTTTTACTGATTCACATATGCATAATTGTAGATTCCTTCCTAAATGTGAGTTTTCATGAACTAACAGTATGTGTTAGTCACTTTCTATGAATCAAACATAGTCTCCAAGATAAGGTACAGTCCATCTGGAAAGAATGATTCAGCTTCTTTTAGCAATTCTGATCCACCAAGAAGTTAAGCTACAGTCGTTTGTCTGCAGGCTGATTTGCATTCTGAATATAACGTAGACTTGATTCATAAATATGTATTTAAAATAAAGTTCTGGCACAACCTCAGAAGACAATGTGCTATACTAATATTGTGGGAATTTTTGAGATGTCTCTCAGGCAAAATATTGCACAGTATTAGTTAGATATCTTAGAGCTGACTACAACTTACGTCACCCAAGATAGATCTGTGTAGAGATTATGAGAAATCTATATATTGGATTGGGCAATGTAGCTTGAGAGCAAATGTTTAGGAGTAAAGAGTCAATCGTTTCATAGAATAATGCATTAGGAAGATGATTCAAATATGGAGAAATTTAATGTGAGTAGACAATCCAACTTAATCTATAACATATGCATATACTGAGCAAACTATTGGTCTCTCTGTCACACTATTGTCTATTCAGTTTGGCAATTACTTTCCAGTTCTCCCTCAGTACCGCTATTTCAAAGAATTTTTAAAATAGAGATGCCAGGAACTTTTATTTTTGCATATAATATAAAAGCATAAATGTAAAATGAAAACATATGCTCAGCTCGACCATACACATACAGTATAAGAAGAGTCATGTGAGTTCAGACTTAAAATTACTTAACCAGAGGCTAATGGTCACCAGTACAAGAATGCAGCAGCAAAAATGCTATGGCGAGGCATACCACTTCTGTACAGAAAATAATCCTGTATGTAGCTATAACAGATACAAGCTGCAGCTAGCTAACAAGATTTCATTTAAATATAAGGAAAATTTTCCTGACAATAAATTCTGTACACAGAAGACTACCTAAGAAATTTGTGGGTGGTCCATATCTGGAGGTATTTAAGAACAGACAAACAACTTCATGGATTACCTAATTGATTCTCCTGAACTCTGCAGAGGGTTGGACTAGATGATCCTTATAATCCCCTCCAACTCTACAGTTCTATAATTTTGTTAGTCCATCTAGCTCACTTTGTACTGATTGAATGCACATCTCCAAGATCTTTAAATGTATTTCAAAAAAGGCTAAATTAACAATGGGATTGAACATAGACGTTTATGCATACAACATATATAATAGACTGTCTGCCAATTGGGACAATTTATGGGTGATCAACAGAAGAGTATAAGGGTCTGTTGCTGCTTCATGGACAGACTTGGCCCTGCCATTAGACAAAGTCAGGACTTGCCTCAAACAGGAGAAGCCAAAGCCTGAGCCAGGTGAATTGCAATCTGCTATATAACCCCAAATTGTTATTGTTATTCTCAGATATGGTGGAGCATGTTGGACTATTACCAATCTGAAATAATACTCAACCATCATTTGGATTGGCTTCTGTATGTGGTATTGGGGAGGACACAATTTTGTGTTTTGCCTCAGGCAACACATCCTGAGCCAGCCCTGACCATAGTCATAACATTTCAGTCTATATTCTAAATCTGTGCAGCAATCTGGATTGCTGCACAGGGAGAAGATGATTTGCAGCATCTGTGGGGTGTACATTGCACCTGATGACATCTCTTTAAATCACAAGCAACTTATCTTGGCAGCTTCTTTAAAAAAGCCTTCCTCAGAGACAGTTTCCACAAACAGATGTCCTGTTTCTTAATTTAGAATACCCCCCTCCCCCAAATTAAATTGGAACTTTAATGATGGGAAAGAACTCATGCCATTTCCTGGTCTAAAACCACAATCTGTCAACCATACCAATATTCATCAAGCAACTCTTTTGTCCAGCAACATAAATCACAAGAGGAAGGTTCAGCAGTCCTGATTCAAAGGGGGACTCCTGTGTAGTTGTGGGTAATCCTTCTCACAGTTTCCTGTGTTGCCTGAAATTTGACCATAGGTTGCTATATTTACATAATATGCAATTATTCTTGTGAGTGCAGCTAATATTTTTATTTTTCATTCTAGATTTCTGCACAGGAGAGTCGCAGAAAGAAGAAAGAATATGTAGAGTGCTTGGAGAAAAAGTAAGCCATTCTTTTCTCTGGGTGACCCCAGGAAGTTGATGCTAGGCTTGTGATGTCAGTAGTTTCTCTTGAACTTGATTGGGATTTCTAGTATGATAATTATCTAATAGACAAACAAGCCTTTGTTTTGGTTCAGTTACTGCCCAATAGAATTGCCTCTTCTTGCATTATTGCATCTGTAGCAATCATAAGACTGTGAATGAAGACAAATATATGTGTCCCTGGATAATGTTGCAGGATCCAATCGGAGTTGGTCACTAGGATCTGAGATTTCAGGCTTGTGCTGGCCTCTGGTCCCGGTGACCAACTCAGATTGGATCTTGCAACCTTAAGACCTGTTAGTGTTTTTTTCCTGTCATTTCCTTTTGCCTTTGTCTTCTAGACATTTTCTCTAATATGTTTAAAGACTATATGAGCCGTGGTGGTGCAGTGGTTAGAATGCAGTACTGCAGGCTAACTCACTGCTCACTCCAGGAATTTGATTCTAAATGGCTCAAGGTTGACTCAGCCTTCCATCCTTCCAAGGTGGGTAAAATGAGGACCCAGATTATTGAGGGCAATATGCTGACTCTGTAAACCACTTAGAGAGGGCTGTAAAGCACTATGAAATGGTATATAAGTCTAAGTGCTATTGCTATATGACCTATAGCAGCCAGCTGTGTACTAAAAGGGCAGTTTGGCAGTCAGGGACAAAATTATATGCTGTGGTGCCTAATGCTCCACGTAAAGTTTGCCTTAAGAAAAATAAAGGATATGGGGGGTTTTTTTGGTTCGGATGTAAAAAGTAATAGGTTTAAACTTGAGCCAAAAAGATTAAAATTATATATTAGAAACAACTTTCTAAAAACAGATTAGAGTTTTTTGAGCCAAAGTAAATGTGTGATGAGTGATCAATCTTTCTGAATAAAAATAAAAGGGAGACTAATTAGAAAGCCTAATTAGAGAGCCAGTTTGGTGTGGTAGCTAAGGTACTGGACTAGAAACCAGGAGACCATTACGGTAGTTATAGGCCTCCTAGAGGACTTGGCTGGTTGATTTGAGGCCACTCTCTCTTAGCCCAACTCACTTCACAGGATTGTTGGGAAGAAAAAAGCAGGCCAGGGCATTAGGTGTGTACAGCACCTTTACTTGACCAGAAATAAAGGTAGGATAAAAATCTAACAAACAAATAAAGCTCACATGGTATTTTTAAAAAATAATGAAGCATTGCTTGGGATTGGCCTGCCATTTCTTGAATGTCATTTTTTTCCACTGAAATTCCTCCCCTCCAAGCTGTTAGCACTTCTCCTGTTTCAAAGAATTCCATAAACAAAAGCACAAAAACTATAGGAGATCTTGATCGTAGATCCCGTATCACATTTACCTGGATGCTTTAAAAACATATAAAGACTTCAGATTAAGGACCATTAAGGTTCAACTAAATAAATGTTGCTAGGATTTAGTTTGTCTAAAATACACAAATTTATTTGAATGAAGGGCTGCAATCAGTCTTGTGTATTCAGAAAGGGGATTGCATCAAAAGACATTGGATTGACTCAGAACAAATGTCTGTAGCCAGTCTTCTTTCATCTCCATATTATTCCCCATTAATTAATTTCTTGTATTCATTTTCTCCTCCAAATCAAGCTTGTAATGCAAAGTTCTTCAGGACATCTCTCCCTTTATTGATTTCCAAAATATTCTATTAGTAAGCTGCTCAACAGTAGTAACTTTGAGAGGCATCCAGGTGTCCTAGTGGACCACTGCTTAAGTATGAGTCAGCATTGTGCTGCAGCTGCCAAAAAAGGCAATGCATTCCTAGACTGCATCAACAGAGGGATAGCGTCAAGACAACAAGAAGTGATGGTGCCACTTTTACACCACACTGGTGAGACCACACTTGGAATACTGTGTCCAGTTCTGATCACCATTATACAAAACAAATGTTGAGGCCTTGCAAAGTATTTAGAGAAGAGCAGCAAAGATGATAAAGGGTCTGGAGGCTAAATTTTATGATGAATGGTTGAGGGAGCTAGGTATATCTAACCTATCAAAGAGAAGAATCCGGGGGTCATGATAACTGTCTCCAAGTACTTGATGGACTGTTACCAAAAAAAAAAGAAAAAAGGATTGACTTATTCCCTAAGGCATCAGAAAGCAGGACAAGAAGTAATGGGTGAAAGCTTGTCAAAGAGAGATACGACCCAAAGGTAGGAGAAATTTACTTCAGTAAGAACAATTGAGCGATGGAATAGCTTGCTTCCTGGGATTGTGGGTGCTCCATCACTGGAGGTTTTCAACAGTAGACTGGACAACCATTTGATTGGGCTAATATAAGGCTCCTGCCTTAAGCATGGGGTTGGACTAGAAGACTTCTGAGGTTCCTTCAGTCTTATGTTTCTATAATTCTTAATTTAATAAGCAATAATAAGCTGTAGGTTAAAATATGAAAAGATTACTGCAACGTATTAGAAAATATTCACTCTTGTTATAATTCCCAGTCTGAGAAATCTCAAGCTCAAACCCTTTTTGAATCTCCTCATAAATTTTATTTTATTTAAAATAAATATTTTCAAATAATTTTATTTTCCCACAAGCATATTTATTCATTTGTACATCTCTATTTTTCTTTTTACTTCCATTGAAGATTGGAAACTATTCTGCCACCAAATGTTACCCAGTATCATACATTTCAGAGGCTTTATCAAAGCATAATGATGATTTATGCAACTCATCAGCCATGGAATAATCAGAACTTATTTATGGTTAGTCACATAAACATCTTGAGATTATGTCTAGCCTTTCTGTCCTTTACCTCTTTGCTGATGATACATGTTTGCTTTGTTGTCATTGTTATATACAATGTACACCGGTTTCATAAACTAATAAATTTAACAACTTTATTTATTAAAGGCATCTAGTAAATAATAAAGCAATGGGATGTGTATTTCAGAATACAGTTTAAAGCAGTAATTTCACTGTGTAGCATTATGCAAGTGAATCAATAGGAAAATGGAGAATAAAGAACTCTCCTTGGGCCTCTTCAAAAATCCTTGAATTTAGCATGTAGTTTCCCAAGCAGCACAAATAGCTGAGTAAAGGGGGAAAAGAAGCCAAGATGTTTACAGCTCACATCCATGGAATCATAATGCTGGAAAAGACCTTGAACATCATGTCATCCAACTCCTTGCTCAATGCAAGGTCAGCAGTGCAAGATGCTATTGCTGTATCCCCAACAGATGGCTGTTCAGACTCCATTTGATTCCTTCCAGCAAAGAAGAGTCCACCACCTCCCAGACCAGCCACTTCTGCTGCCAGACAGCTCTTTCAGTAAATTTCTTCTAAAGCTTAACTGAAATTTGCCTCCTTGGAATTTCTGTTCACTTGTTCCAGGCCTGGAGAAAGAAATAATCTGTTCCATCTTTTGCATGACAGATATTCAGATATTTGAGGTCTGCGATTATATTTTGCTTTAATGTTTTCTTTTCCAAGCTAAACCTGTGCAAATCTACTAGCTGTAGTTCATAGAATTTGGTTTTCAGCCTATTCACCATCATAACTGATTTTCTCTGAATGCATTCTAAGGTCCATTTTAAAATGGGGAAGCCAGAACTGGACACAGCCTTCCAAATGCAGCCTGATTAACACAGAGCTAGAGGTTAATATAGTCTATGGCCATTACTTTATTGTGTTATGTTTAATCTTTTCCCCTTTCTTCATTTAGTAACATGGAACAAAGAAAGGGGGGGGGAATACACCAATACACCAATTTATACTCAAGTCTGTTTCTACCTCAGTGAAAGTTTCTGCTAAATGTCTTTTTCCCCCCTATGAATTAAATTCATTTGTGAGCCTTTGAATTGATTTTATTCTACTATTGGGTGCTTCTCTTGGAGGAGTGTTATTTACTCCTTAAATGGCTTTTGACTAATCATTATTGTCTATTTTCTGATGTATAATGAAGATAAATATAATAAACATTGTGAATAATTTTGAAGGCGCCAAAAATGCCCTGCAGTCAATAATAGTAATTTTGCTTTTCTTGCTACATATAGTGTAGAGTGGGACATCATGACTTTGTGTCATTACATTTATCTTTGGCTGTTTTATTTATTGTCATCTTTAATACAATTTTTAACCATCCTGAATGTTTCCTAATTGTAAGGCAACATATCAGTCCTTAGAACAAACACAGGATTTATGACTAGGTCTTACTCATCCCTGATTTCTGTGTCTTTGGTCAGAGTGCTAAGCTGCTTCAAATCATTTATCAGATAGAGCCTGTTTCCTGGCATGGAGCAATCACAGAGATGCTTAAGATCAAATTGGATGTCATATTACCCACACAGTTGAAATTAATCCGCACAAATTCTTTATAGAAATGTTAGCAGTCCCAAGGAAGCCTGAACAGCTTTGGGATTATGAGGGAGGGTCGAACGGAAGTACAGGTTTTTCTCTGTTTGCCGAACTCCCAACAAAATGGCCACTCCAAAATTGCTGTTTTAGTTTCAAATGGTGCAAATGGTGGGTGTTGTCTTGCTGAGAAGTAAGCCACAAGGCCTCCCATGAGCAGGCCATGTGCAAGGCCTGGAAGAAAATCCTTCATATTTGCAAGAGGAATTCATGTCAGCGGTTGTGCTGCGTAATTTCTTCAGGGGCTAAAATGGGCCTGGGCCTAGGCAGACTGGTAATTTAGAATTAATTTTATTTAAACTGCCTCTTTAAAAAAAATTGCATGTTTTCTCTTCAGGGTTTTCTAAGTGAAATGTAATAATTATTGCGGACTCTTTTGAGACAGTCTGATATGTACAACTGTTACCACATGTCTGATAGAGGCTTTCCTTGAATTGTAAATAGAAAGGCCAGTTTTGTCAGAATTGTGGCAGAGAAAAGAACAGGTTAAAATCCTCCATTCTCTCCATGCGCACCCACCACAATCCCCAGCCTGCTCAGGCTTTCCCAAAGTTTCTATTTACAGAACAAAATGTGTGCACTTTAATTGCTTTCACACAAATAATATCCTATTTGGTTTGAGTCCTTAGGAACTAGAATCTGGAGTAGAGTGGGTGTACATCATATTCATGATTTTGTTTTACTTCTCCAGAGTTGAAACGTATACATCTGAGAATAATGAATTGTGGAAAAAGGTGGAGACATTAGAAAATGCAAACAGGTGAGGAGAACCCAAATGTTCCTATCTTTACCAAAAGGTCCTGTTGAGAAAAAGGGTTGGGAGAACGCAGAAGAAAGGAGAAGGAAGATCACTTAGCCCCCCCCCTTTCTTCATGATATATATATAGATTATCTTAAATCCACACCAGTAGTGCTTGCATCCAGATTTTCTGAAAGTAATTGTTACCGCAGTCTTAAAATCTGCATATTGTCTTTACCTCCTTTCCTTAAATATTCACACATGTACATGTAATTTCTCCTTGTACATGCATGTTGATATGCAGTTTTACCAAGTATATCCATATTTCCATATCACCTCTCCCATATTTGCATTTATGTATGCCACACAGTTTGCAGGGCCAAAAATATTTCAAGTTGAATATTACAAGATTCACTACCCACTCCTGCTACAAGATATTCCATTGAATGCATTCTTTGATTTGTCTAGCAAATAAATCTGCAATATATTTCTTTTTACATATCTACTTTTTGATAGATATTAGTTTACGTTGCAGGAACAGATTTTGGTTTTCTTCTGTTCTAGGTTTTTTTTCCCAGCAATGAATCAGCTGCATTTGGTTAGTAAGTTTTAGGAATTTTTGTGTTGAGACAGCCAGGACTGAACTTTTGTGGTTTATTTGCTTTTTGAAAAATTGGAGCAGGGGGAGAGAAAAATAGGCACATTTCCTGAGTGTATTCCAACCCTAATAGTGTACTGAAATTCTGCTACAAATGTCTTTCCAGACCAATTCTTAAGCTGACAGTTTCCTCTAAGGGCAATTATATCCTGCAACCGAAGCTGTTTCTCACACGTGCTACCTCCAGCCTTTTCTCAGGGCAACTACAGAAATTCCAGCCTGAACTGGAATTGGAATTATGGCAAGACTTGATTTGTCGGTCTTACCATCCTTGCAGGGAAGGTAAACCTGGCTACCTGTGTGGACCAGTCTAACAATACCTGCCTTTTCCTTTTAGTGGTTTCTCCTTCCTCACAAGTTACTGTGCCTTCTCTTTGCTTTCCCAGACCCAGATGATTGCACCCATGGATGCCTTCATCTCTCTTCCCACATTATCTCCCTTGATACTAAAGCAGACTCTTTTTTAAAACAACAACATCAATAGTAATCCTTTGTGGTGCCATCATAACTCTGGTACTATAAAAACCAAAGCAAGGGGCAACCGGTTGTTCTTCCCTTCCCTTGCGGGTCCAGGATAGAACTGGTAGTCCCCAGTTTCATAGAAGGAAGGAAGTCCTGTTTCTATGCTGCCATTTAAACAAGTTTTTAAAAAAAGTAAAGGAGAGAGAAGTGAAGCAAAGCAAAGTTTTGCTGTACTGAGAGCACTGGACAGGGATCGGGTAAGTAAGGGGAACATGCTTCACCCAGCCTGGGCAGAGATTAAAAGAGTACTCACTGGGAGATGTAGGGCCTGAATGGAATGTCTAATGTGGAAGATAGCTCATTGACTTAATAATCAGTGAAGCAACCACAATATTATCAAAATTCAATTACTGCCAACCAGCAGAGATCAGAGCAGACTGATAGCCTAAGATGAGATGGCTGCCCAGGCAGCAACCAGCCAGTGGGGCAGAAGAGGTATCTCAGGCACTGCCACCAACTTGAACTGGGGCTGCTACTGGAATGGAAAAGAGAGGGAAACCATCTATTTTGAATGGCTCAAAATGGCTTACGTCGGAATATAGCAGTTTTGAACTGAAACTGGGAAACACGGGGGTGAGATTTATGTATGATTGGCTGAGAGTGGGAGATATAGGGCATCAACCATTCCTGTACTCAGCAAGTGGTAAGTGGCCCTTATTGGTGATGGGCCAAGTAGAAAGTGCATCTTTAGGCACTTGTCTCTGTCAGACTGACTCAACCCCTTTTTCTACATAACTGAAGGACAAATCTGCTCCTTCCTCAAGTCTAGGTTCACAAAATAATTAGGAGTTCAACCATATTTCAGTACTGAGGCAGGAGACTGCCTTCCATTGCACAAAGCCCACATCACTGCATTGCACCCAAAGTCAGAACTGTTCTGCTCTCTTTAAACTGTCCAGCTGGCTTCGGTATACAGAGGATGCTCTTCTGCCAGTAGTATTGAAATATAGTTTGGTGGTCAGACGCTGCATATGCACGTGCACACAACACCTGCAATCTTATGCAGCCTCCTCACTCTTCTGCATGGTAGGTCAACTCAGCTGGCTGCTAGTTGATTTGAAATGTATCGAGGATTAGATTCACTGGCGAGATGTGTGCCAATGACGCATAGGTATAAGCCAGAGTTATGGAAAGCCATTTATAGCCAAGAGCACAAAACAGATAAAGAGAACAAGATTTGAAGGACACAGGAAAAAATGTCAGGAAGGCAATGTGCCCTGATTCCCTTGCTAAAGCTCATTTCTTGGAAGAGTCCAGCACAGCTATTAGGTGGTTTTAGTTTCCAGACATTATTGTCATATTAGGAGAGGGTGTGGTTTACGTAGAGGGAAGTGTTCCTTTTCTTAGTTTAAAATATGGTAAGGCACCCCTGTTGCATCTGGCTCCTCCTTTACTATTCATTTTACTTATTAGGGTCTGAACTTCTGCTTTAATAGTAGTTTGGAAAGGTTGTCGGTAGAGAGAGTTGACAACTAGTTGAATCCTGAGTCCACTGGAAAAAGAGAAATCCCTGTAGATTTAGAGGCCTGTGAGGAAGTGCTATTCCTTCCCAGACCTTGTTAACTGACTGTTGGTTGAGAACTTGTTCTCTGGTTGCATAGCACAGACAGCCAAGAAAAGGGCATAGTCCCATTTGGGGAATCAATTGCTGACAGGTTTTGGGGGAAGATGTATATTAGCATAAGATAAGCCACTGCAGATGACAGCATCTACTCAAGCTTGGCAAGTTTGAAAGAGCTAAATGAGATCAGAACTGATTAGTACTTAGATGAGAGATCACAAAGGTCTCTGGACTATAGATCAGTGGTGGCGAAGCTATGGCACGGGTGCCAGAGGCGGCACTCAGAGCCCTCTCTGTGGGCACGCGGACCGTCGCCCCAGTCCTAGGTCTTCAGCTGGGTTTTATAAAACCTTTTCGCTTTAGGCCTCCGCCGCCGTGTGTAAAAAAAAAAAAAGGTTCAATCAGTCAATTTCAACTTCTCGCGGAAAAAAAAGATCTTGCAAAGTTGGAATTGATTGATTGAACTTTTTAGTCCCGCCCAGTCTGCCGTTACCACCGCAGCCACGCCCACCCAATAGGCCACACCCACCCAATGGGCCAAACCCATCCAATTGCCCACACCCACCCGGCACCCAACGATGCATAAGTGGGTTTTGGGTTGCAGTTTGGGCACTCGGTTTCTAAAAGGTTCGCCATCACTGCTATAGACTATATTGGAAGTTGAAAGCCATTTCAGAAGAAGGTAATGGCAAAGAACTTGTGTTGCCACAAAAAGAACAGTCTTGGGACCATCTAGTTGCCAGGAGTTGAGTCTGAATCAAGAGAGACCCCTTATAAATTTGTCATCTTTCTTAATCCAGTGGGGGGGGCGTCTCTCACTGGTTACTGTTTTTGCCCTTCCAATCCATCTTACAAATCATAATGGCTGGAAAGGAGAAATCTATGTACTTTATCTTCTCTAGAATTGCTCTTTGCTTGCACAGGCACAGTGTCCTACATAAAAAACATCTCAGCCCAAGGAATTTGCTTGGACTAAGAGACATGCAGGGAACTCAAATATCTACTTCATGTACAAATGGGGGGAAATAGCAAGATTCCTCAGAATTGGCTTAGCCACCAATGAAAGGTGAAAACTAAACCAAGTAATAGCTTATAAAATACAGAAAGACATCTACTCAATTTCCTACTGACAATAGGTAACTGTGATATAGTTTCATTTGGGAGTATAATACAATTTGGGAGTCCTCCTAGATTCACAACTCCTACTTCGAAGGGAATATTTGCAGAATTCTATTTTTTTTTTTTTTGCATCAGTTGTATCTGTTTCTGGATTGGTAAGCTCTGCTCTCTGTCACTCAAAGCGTAGACATTCCCAGTTTGATATTGTAATGTATTCTATGTGGGGGACCCGTGTGATGCTGAGCTTGTCAGCCTGGGTTCAAGACCTAGGCGCTACGCAATGGGGTGCGCTCCTGTTGCTTGCCCCAACTCCTACCCACCTAGCAGTTCAAAAGTATGCAAATGTGAGTAGATAAACAGGTACCACTTCGGTGGCAAGGTAACAGCGGTCCGGGCACCTCGGTGTATAGTCATACTGGCCACATGACTACAGAAATGTCTTCAGACAATGCTGGCTCCCTTGGCTAAGAAACAGAGATGACCACCACCCCCTCCAGTCAGACTACCAGACAGGGGAAATCTTTATCTTTACTTTTACCTTACATGATGCTGCCCTTGGAGACCATCCAGAATCTACAGTTGGGCCAGAATGCAGTGGCACATCACCTTGTGATCTTGCATTGGCTTCCTGAAGGCTTCTGATGCAATTTAGGGTGCTGGTTATTCCATATAAAGTCCTACACGATACAGGAGTGGGTTATTTACAGGAGTACCTTTACTCAAAGCTATCTACCCATCTCATACCTCAATTGCCCTCTCTTACACACACACACATACACCTCCCTGACACTTGGTCCAATCCTGCAGGCCTTTAGAAAAGCTGTGAAACCTTGGCTTCTTCAAGGGTTTGAGTCAGGATGATGAGAGTTCCTATCTGAAAGAGTGCAATACATTTAAGTCTTTGATAACTGATTAATTGTTGTTAATAGCATTGTTGAATTTCTTTTGCTCATTGCACAGAGTTTGTGTCAATTTATTGTTTGAATTCAGTGGCAAATGAATGCTATCAGTAAATAAAAGTGTGAATAATACAGGAACCTGTTTTTGCTTAATGTGCTATGGATACAATTTTAGATAAACTCTGACTTTTTAAATCCAGAATCTGCCCCCTCAAATAATCTTGATTTGTGCTTGAGCTTTTCCACTCCATTTGTGCTTAGTGCCCTCATTCAGTGGCTCTAGTAAATGCTTTTCTCTTGTGCTCAACAGCAGGTTCTGGTCCTACTTTATAGTTAGATGCAGTATCCTAGGACTCTGGAAGCTTGAAGCATATTCTGTTTTTCAAAGGTTACAATTTTCAGTAGGTTTGATAACTTTGTTGATAGCTGATGACTGCCATCTACTGGACAAGTCATTACCTTCTCTGATTCTCCCACCAATTCTGGACTCTCCGCTGCATTCAGCATCCCAAATCTATAGTGGGTTGGCAAGAGCTACATGCAAATGGGTGCCATGGGCAGGCAGTAGAGAGTGTGGGTGGAGGTGCTATGGAGTACAGCATCCCCATGCTGCCCAGGGGCGCCTTGGGAAAAAAAAACCAGTGGAAGTGGGAGCGACTTGTGGGAGTAATTTGTAACCTCCTGCAGGCTTCTCCATTGAATTTGAAAATGGCAGGGAAGAGCCTAATTGGCAATCATGTGACCGCAGGATGCTGGAACTGTCATAATTGCAAGCTGGTTTCCAAGTGCCCGAATCATGGTCACATGATTGCAGGGATACTGCAATGCTGCAACTTTGTAAATTTGCACAGTTGCTAAATGAGTGGCTGTAACCCACGGACTTCCTGTATTCAATAATAAATACATAATATATGGTTTTCAGCTATGGTTATTGTACTGTATAGGTTATTGTACTAATTGCTCATTTCAAGTATCTGGACTAAGGAGTTTTTAATTATTGTAACACATTGTTAGTTTCCCAAAGTAACTTTTCTGAGGTAGACAACCATATAAATCTATTAAAGAAAGAAATAATGTTATTTTTCTTAGAGAAAGACATAAACATACTATTTTTAGAGTTCTTAATTTTTTTAATGTGTTTTCTTCTGATGGTGAAAAAGTTATTTTTTTAAAATTAATTTCTAGGACACTTCTGCAGCAGTTACAAAAGCTACAATCTCTGGTTGCAGGGAAGGTTTCCAGGCCATACAAAATGGCCTCTACACAGACAGGAACATGCCTGATGGTAAGGTCTACATAGTATCCTTTTTAAACATATCATTTTCCATTCACAGTGATCTTGACTTTGAAATTTTGCAAAATTAAGGACAGATTACCCACTTGCTGTTTGGCCCATTGCCGTAAAGGATGCTCATCACTTCCTGAAGGCAGAAAAGGATGTTGTCTTCCCATTCCTGGTCCATGGCAAATGTACACCTCACCCATATTTCCAGCTTCAAATCAAAACAGCTCTTTTCTGACCTGGGAATCTGAAGCCCTTCAGAGTAGATAGTCTCTGAAAGTTTGTTCCGTTCTAGTAACAGCCTCCACTCTGATTGGCTGCAATATCTAATGTGCCCCCTCTCTCCCAGTAGCTGGTTGGTGCCCAGGGTGGCCATTTCCTCCTAAGCTGTCAGATTCTGATCTCTGCTGGTTGACAATGACTGGTTTTTATAATCCCGAGGTTATAAATCTTGGTATCTGAAGGGGGGGGAAAGAATGGAAAGGGTTAGTGTCCAAGGACATAATGTGGGAAAGGGATGGTGGTGAAGGCTATAATAATAATAAAAATAAAGTTGGAAGGGACCTTGGAGGTCATCTAGTTCAATCCCCTGCTCAGTCAGGAAACCCTATACCAGGGATCTTCAAACCTGGCCCTTTTATAACTGGCTGAGGAATTCTGGGAGTTGAAGTCCACAAGTCATAAAAGGACCAAGTCTGAAGACTCCTGTGTAAATTCAACCTTACAATAAAGATAAAATTAGTACTCATGGTTGTGCTTCTTGTGTTTGGCTTGCCTTGAAAGGGTAACACCTGGCTGCAATTTGGACTAAGCATCAGCTCAGTCACATTGCCAAGGCTTAAGAAACAGCTGGGACATCACATAAGACAAGCAACATAGGCTGCAGTGTGAAATTGCCCTTAGTATTGTAAAGTCACTATTATAGTGTGAGAATAGTAAGGATGAATATTTTGAGCTTACTTGTTTAGATGGTAGTCTGATCAACCTGCTTCCCCTTCCTCTATTCCTCACTTTGAATAAAGTTTTGTTAGACATCAGGAGAATTTATATATTTATTTTTGAATCCCCAAATGTAGCTTGCATTATGTTGAATCACAGCGTAAGAGTTAGATTGCAAACTTCATTGAATGAGTAATGTTCCTTCCTGTAACCATCAGCTAAATGTGTGGTTCATCCTCCCCGCTTCCCACTCCCAAACCAAGGAATTTTTCTAATGAATGCTAATGGGCTCTTACCTCTGATATAAAAATAGCAAAAGCTGACATCCATTTTATAGCTGTCACAGGAATATCCGTTGTAAAAAAGACCTAATGGTACAATTTTTCTATCAGTTTTAAATGAAAGTTGAATAAGTTTAAAATATCATTTACATTTGTTCCATTCTGGCAAAAATAAAGGAAGCTTCAGATAAGCATTCTCTGTGCTACAGATTCAAAGTGACCAAATAAAAGATTATTATTCGATGAATCGAACCAGAATCCCCCTCCCACTCTTTCCCCCCACTTTTATTACAACTTTTAAAGTTTTCTCCTTTTTCTGGTAAATTTTCTGGGCCTGTAAATAACATCTTCCTGATAGGCAAAAATTCAGTAGATGAAACTTTTTTCATCTCTATATCACTTGCTGGTGAGAGAATATCCATTCTAGATGAGCAGAAAAAGAATATTGCTTCAGTAGGTCTTTAATATTATTCCTATTCTTACCTAAAGATGTGTTTGTAGCGTGGACCAAATGATGCAGTGTTCAGTTCCTACTTAGTGGCAGGCTCAATGTGGACTATTCCTGAACTCTGGCCTATAGCATGTAGCTTATAGGGCTGGATGAAAAATATACTGTATATGCTGACCAGGGGTTCTTGGAAGCCTGATATGATTTTGAAAAGCCTATGAATGTATTTGCCCCTAACTTAGAGTTGCTCTATGAAGAAGATGTGTGTGTGTGTGTGTGTGTGTATAAAAATAAAAATGTAAATGTTCATTCGTTTGTTCAAAATCTTAAATCTCTGAAAGTTCTTCACCGATTGCTTTGAAATTTTGACACACCGTTGCATTCAAATACGCGCATGTTTTTATATACCTATATTATATAGATGTCACACCTGTGACAGGTAAAACATGTTTTTTTTGAAAAACAGCGCCATCTGTTGGACGTAAAAGCAACACACGCTTTTACCAGACTGAGCCACAGCAACACGTGGCCGGGTACAGCTAGTGTGTGTGTATATATATAGTGTGTGTTTTTCAAAATTTGGATTGCTAACAAAGAATTAAGGGAGAACTGGAATAGCCATTTCGAACTTTTTAGTTCTTTTCAACCAGACATACCCTTCTGAGATTCGAACCTGGGCTGTCTGCATGTTAGGCAGATGATTACAAATTTAAACCTGTTCTTAGAATTCTTGTAAACACATATATCTACATTTTTAAAATCTATTGATTTCCCTAAATATATTTCATTTATTAGATCTATAGTTCATCTTTCCCATTGGAAATAATCCATAAACTTTATGGCTCAATAGAGAAGTGAGACTGGGTTTTCCTTGTTATTATAGTCACTTCTCCATTACAAAGTTGTTTTGATGATTTCCAGCTCTTCTCTTTCTTACTATTCATCTCTTCAAATGTCCTTTCTATTCAGTCAGTGCACTGAATATTTCTACTATGTGTTTTCCCCCATAGGTCCTGGTGCTGTGCTTTGTTCTGGTTTTGGGCTCCATGATGCCATGTCTCCCAGAATTCTCAACATCATCACAAACAGTAAAAGCAGCTCCGACGCCAGATATTTACACAACAAGTAAAAGTGAGTCAAATGTGGACATTTCCTTCATTACTAAAAGCTTCTTTAATCCTTCTTTTCCAGGGATAACCCCATCATGGTTCATTTTGTCCACAGAGATATATCATGTTATTGCAGGAACAGATGAAGTTTGGAAGTTTGAGCTGTGGGCCTTCTGTTCTTCTAATTTCTTTTTTTTTTACATATGTTTTATTGATTTTTAACATAATTACCTTAATATTTGGTAAACAGCGTGTTGTCTGGGTTAGTATTTAAAAAACAATCAATGACAATTAATTTCTATAATTCTATAGTCCATATTATGGCTTTGCTTGATTTTCTCTTCTTCTTTCTCTTTTGCCAACTTAAATTAATACAGTTCTTATTATTTGAATAAATGACAATTAAATATAAACATTTTGCTTATGTTTCTGCAAATAATAACCACATCAATATAAATTTTCTTTTCTAATTGATCATCTTGGTTGCCTCATCATAGATCCTGTTTACAAAGCTCTTATTTAAATTTGTTTTTCCCACAATATTCAGAGCATTCTTACTGGTTAAGATTTTCTCAAAATTAGTTACAGTTAAGTATTTAAGTCTTTTTTCTCATACAAGTCATCCCAACACTTTTACATTTCTCATATCTTTAAAAAAAACAGAGAAAACATTTATTTTATATAAACCATCCCAACATTTTTATATTTCTCATGTCAAAAAACAAAACACAAAAGAAAAAAGAAAGAAAAAATACTATGTTACTTGAGGGGTTCATCCCTCTTAAACTAATCTTTATTTATATCCAAAATCTTTTTATTTCTTTAACCATATTCAAACAAATGTTTAATTTTTAAATATTCCCTCTGGTAAATCCCATCATCTAGTTTCTTAATTCTCACTTTAGCCCTTTTTTTGCCAAATATCTTTCCTGATCAATATGTTTTGCTGAATCAAAGAATCTTCCCATAATCTTGAGAATGTTGCAAGTACAAAAGGCAAAACAGGTAAGAGATTTTTATAGGAAGGTTTCACCCCTTCGTATTCATTGAGAATCTTTTCCTTTCTTTCTTTATTTTATTTATCATTTTTGTCTCTCAAGTTCTCATAGTTCTCCTGACAGAATCCATTTTGTCAAATCTTTTTTCTTGCCCTCGAACTTATTTTGTAATTTAGAGTGTAAGTTATCTTTTCCATGTCCAGTACTTCCTGTAAATTTTTTTCCTTCTGGGTTAAGTCATACTTCCTTCTATTGTTAAATTCCATCTTAAAATCTCTCTCCTCTGTCTCATATTCAATTGTCTGTTTTCTCTGCTCACTCTCTATTTTTATTTTCTGAGAATTTTTATGTTGTAAAGTTAAATTAGAGATGTGTTTATTTATATTTTCAAAGTTATTTTTAACTTCCTCGTGGTTTGAGATCATTGTTGTTTGAATTAGTTGCAATATAGCATAGATCTCCTTCTGGAAAGTATTTGTTTTTTCTTGGTACATTCTTTCTGGAGATCTCTGGTTTTCCAGGATAGCCAAAAGTCAGGGTTTTCCTTTCTCTGCAGACAGCTTTAGAATCACAGTTGAGTTAGTATTTGTAATCCAGAAAGGTCAAGTTTTTTTTAGAGTTTATGATTCTCACTTTGTAGATAGCCCAAAATGTTTTCTTTCTTACTTTCTTTTTTTTTGTCATAGCTGTTATCTGTTATTAAGACATTGAAGGTCACCAGAAACTATTTATCTCTTCCTGGGCTTTGCCAATCCCTGTAATAGAGCAACTGCTGTTGTATATTTTCATCCACCACTAGATGTCAGCACCAGTTCATTTTTTTTTCATTTTTCAGTAATAGACAATTGTTTACTTCTATTTTCATGATTTAAAAGGAAAATCTTAACAGATTCCACCAATTTCAAATTTATCCAGATTTAGGGGCAGAATGGTCTGCTCTCCTTCCCCAACATGATGTTTGGATCTCCAGAGGCTGCCTGGTGCCCTGCCTCCCCCACAGGTCATGTGAGAGCTGGGGAAGTGGTGCAGTGTGGACCTGTTTCTGCACTAGGCCTGTCAGAGCCTCCCCCATTCCAAGGTTTTGTGCAGTAGTGAACAGCCGAGGGATCGTGAGACTCCGTACCCTATGGCTGATTTCTGCCTGCTAGGGAACCCTAAATAGGCCTGAAGTTGCCCCATAGAGGCAACAAAGAAGGAAGTCCTTCTGATTATGGAGAGATGGCGGTCGATCTGATCGGTTTGGGAAAAGCCCTCCAGAAACTGGCAGGAGAAAGGCTAGCTAACATCAGCGTCTAGCCCAAGCTACAAGCAGCCGAAGCCCAAAAGCACTACTTTAAGCTGATTGTAAACAATGTGTTTGGAACTGGGTAAGAACAGTGATTTTCTCTCTTCTACTTGAAAATTGATTTCCTGAGGGGAGAAAAAAAGGAAAAAGCCTCCGAAAGTGAGAAGGAATGGGATCTTTGCCCTACCCTCCTACAGACAGAAGCGGCGAATTAAACTGTTCAGGGAGAACAGAAATATACTGAAATGAAATGATGATAAGACTTAATTTGGATAAGTTTGCTCTTCTAATTTCTAAGGACATTTGGCCCAACAATATTAAGAGTGTAGAGCCTTTTTTTTGCTTCCTGTTCATTTGTTTAAGTATACAAATGGGAGGGGAAGCCTTTGTAAGGCAAAGCACTCCCATTTCAACCCTAAAAAAAAAATCTATAACTTGAATAATCACCTGAAATAATTGGGGAGGGCAATTTAGAGACAGTGTTGAAGAGGGCAAGAATAAGAGCAGTTTGCTCCCACCCCCAGATCTCCTGCTCTCATTCCCGACCTTTAACTTTTTACAGAAAAACGTATCAACATCGGCCATTCCATCAATTCCAATACTTTGGGTGGTTTGGGGTGTTTAGGAGTGGGAATTAGATGTGGAACCTCCTAGAGCTTCCCATTCCTATTCCGAACCTTATTTAACTTACACACATGAATTGCAGCCCTCAAAGTGGACCATTGTGCTCCAAATTTCAGCAGTGTGATTTCAGGGAACAATGGAAAAATGTAAATCCTGAGCCACATCTGACCAATGGACTGTAATTTGCCCAGTACTGAGATAATTAGATTTTGTGGTAACTTATCCTTCAGAAGTTTTGGTTCCAATTTATTTTTTTTCATAGTCATTAATCCATGTCCGGAGTGTGTGATAAAGTTGCAATTTTTCATTTCTTTTTCTCAAACATTCACTTATCTTGTTTTGTTTATTATTAAATTCATATCTACTTTTCTACTTACTATTAGATGGTAGTGCTTGTAGTGGCTTCCACCAATTAATCAAAATGCAGAATGCTAAAATCAGTAGAGTTAAATATGGATCATTAAAACAGATTAATAGTTAAAACAAGTAGTTAAATGATGTATTCTTACAATTTTTCTAAATAATGGGAGTATGAAAGGGAGAACTTTCTGTGGCGTGGAAGTCACACAAGAGAAGGTCCCCTCCAACATAACTGACAGCTAAATTCTGGCAGCTAGGATATCTTCAGAAGGGCTTCTTCAGTGGATGTAAGCAACTCAGTAGGTTTGTACATGGAGATAATACGCACAGATACCATCTTAAGCTCTTTAGAATTTTAAAGATCAACACCAGGGGTTCAAATTGTGTCTGACAGGCAACTGACATCTTGTACAGTTTTTCCAGTAGAGACACCTATGGTCTCTATAACCTATGCCAAATAGTAGCCACATTTTGCCTCAGTTGTGATTTCTATTCAAGGTAGCCACACATTGAGCATATTGCAGAACAGCCTTAGCACACAGTTTATTGATATTCATTCCTCCAATTTTAAATTTTCTAATTTTCTTCCAATTCAGTTACCCTCCATATACAGTACATTTGCCATATAGTCTGAATAAATAAAGGGAGAGTACACAGCCTTGTCTTACTCCTTTGTCAGCTGAGACCTAGTCTGTTTGGCCTTATGGGGAAGGGTACGGGTTTTGCATAAGATCACAAGATGTGTTGGGATTCACAATTCTCCAAAGCACATTCCAGATCTTAACATAGTAGATACTGTTGAAGGCCTTTCTACATACAAGGAAGCATATATTAATTTCTTCTTAATGTTTTTGTGTCTCAGTTATTCAGTCTGCATCAGCAATAATGCCTTTTGCTCCCTGGCCTCTTCTAAAGCCAGCTTGAATTTCTGGCAATTCCATTTCCGTGTATAATTCTTATCTGCACTGAATGATCTTAAGCATTATTTTGCTAGCATGTGAAATGAAAGATATTTATGATTGTTTTCACACTCTATGAAGCCTCCTTTCTTTAGTATTAGTCCTTAGACAGACCTCCTCCCATCTGCTAGCCACTGGTTTGTATTCCAGATTTGCTGGAACAGTTTGGTTAGAACTAAGGACCTTCCTGAGATTATTGTCTTTCTTGACTTTGGCTGGTTTTCTTGGCATTTCCTCTGTTCTAACAATCAATTTGCTTTCCTACATTTTTTGGGGCTGCAGCAGTTTCTTTTTCATCCTTAACAATTACATTGATCTAATTCCACAGTTTCTCTGGTTCCCTATCAATGAGTTTCAGGATTTCAAAGCAATTCTTGATGTTTTCCTTAAAAGGTCGTTATCATGGACACTGGTTGGCTTGCTTCTTCTAGTTTAGCTTTACTTACTTTACTTTAGGTTGACATGGAACTCGAACATGAGCAGTTTGTGATCTCTTCCGCAGTCAGCCCCTGGCCACGTATCTGCTGTTATAACTGAACTCTTCCACCTTCTTGTACATTGATTTCTATGCATTCTGTCCGGTGATTTCCATGTATATCCATATATGTCCTGTTACTGGATTGACAGAAATTGGAAAATCTTGCTTCATTTCATTTTCTGGGACCATACAATCCAATTAAACTTTCTTCCTTAATAATTCCAGTTTTGGTATTCTATTTTCTAACCATAAACAGCACATGTTCTGTCAATTTCAGATTGGGCTTTATCATAAAATGTATCAATCTGAGGCAGAGGCATGCTATGTCCAGAGCTCATTGTCCTAGATCAGCAAATTCCATATTTGGGTGGTATAATAAAATAAAATATTAACATGTTCAAACTTTAACTTTCTTCCAAGAATCTGGTTCACCCTAATACTAACAATTAACCAAAATGAACTAACAATGTACATGACCATTACTCATGTTTAAGTAAAGGCAATGGTGGGATTCAAATATGTGAACAACCGGTTCTCTGTAAGGATCCGCTTGCAAAAGTCCATTTTGGGTCTGGGCAACAAAAAATTAGCTACCGGTTCTGCCAAAGTGGTGCGAACCAGCTGAATCCCACCACTGAGTAAAGGTAAATAAAACCCCTCGTTCTAATCTTATATACCAATCTCAGAAATGGAAGCAGCAGGGAAGCAGCAGCCCTGTCTGTCTTATGCACTGTTGTTAAAGTTGATTGTATTGCTGAGCTAAATAAATAGCTCTTCCATAGTATAGGCATAACTTTTATCAGATGCTAGAAACCTCTGATGTTGGTATAGATATTCTCCATACAGTACCAAGCAAATAGTCTTGTCTATATAGTACTGCAAATTATGACTATAATCTGAAAACATGGATGTTGTTTACATAAGTATTATATAATGTAAAACCTGCAATTAATACATATATATTTTCACTGTACACTGGCACCACTTCTACTGGCATTGAGTCCATCAGTTGTCTGAAAACTGTATTAAATCATCTATATTTTTTAAAAAACAATTATAAAGCATTTTATTATAAACCAGTGTGGTGGCTCACCTCCCACTCGGAAGTTGAGAGTTCAATGCTAGGTAGTGGCAGATGTTTCTCTCTCAGGGTGTAAAGAGAAAATATCTGCTGTGAACTCCATGTAGGCATCAGGAAGGATATCCGGTCAGTAAATGCTCAGTTGCATTTTGTCACCCCAACTCTATCCTGAATTAAGGGATTAAAGGGTTGTAAAAAAAAAAGCAAAAGCAAAAGCATTTTATTACAAATTGTGCTATCAGTTATGCCTTTTGAAGACTAACGGTCAGAATTAAACTTTGGTTTTGAGGAAGAGACTTGCTTTTTGCGGCTTGCTTTTTGAAGCCAAATGATGAGACCTCATAGAATAGCCTTATGTTAAGATAGTAGAAAATGGAAATAAGTCAAACTGTATTAGATTTTAGGCAATTATTTGGCAGCTTGACTGTTATATAGTTTCATGACAGGCAGAAATTACAAGAGTGACATTTATTGGTATAAAGACATAGCAAATAAATGGGCAACATGTTTGTGCTGCTTAACGAAGCTCTTCCTTTCTGCAGTCCAATCACGGAGCCTGCTGTTCTATGATGAGCACGGGGGCTCCTTAGAGGAGACCTACAGCTCCTTCATTTCTGTGGAGCATCCTGAAGAGTGGGAAGCTGAAAAAAATGGGGAGGAAGAGAAGCAGCCACAAGCGGACGTGCACAGTAGCCTGGCTGTGGCTCGTGAAACAGTCAAGTATCTGAACAAAACCCATCTCACAGGTCCAAATCAGAATCGGACCAGCTCAGCTCTTACTCATTCCAAGGAAGGTTTCCATGAGAGGTAAGCAAAGTTGGGATCGTTTGTATCAAGACTTTCATTCCTATCTAGGTCTCAAATACATTTGTCTCATTTTTAACCAATTCCTATACGTAGGCATGTGTGATTGCAGGGATTGCAAACCCCAGCAGCTAATCATGCTTGTTTTTTATCAAAACCTTCATTGCTTATTTCTGCCAGTCAGTCTATTATTAAAGATAAAGAACAGGCTGGACTTTCTCATTCTCAGTTTCCAGCAGGGTAGCACTATTGATCTGCTGCAGCGGAAACAATTAAGGAGTTGCGTGGTACTTTGAGTACATGCATTATGGCAAGCTCTGTACCACAAAATCTCAAACTAGAATAAATGATTTTTCGTTCTTTTTCTACAACTGTAAATTGTCTGATTCGCCCCAAAATCTCAGGCGAGGAAGCTCTATGGACTATGGAAACCTCAATTAACAGAGAGCAATTTTCAATGTCTACCAAAATTATGTTAAAAATCAGAGTAGACACATGTTGTATGATTTAAATATATTTCACATGGATTAGATTGGCCTTCTCCAAAGAATCTCCGGAATTACTAGCCAACTCTGGCCTCTATTATTCCTGCCACCTGCTAATTATCCCTTTTTTAACCATTGCCAGGAATTGAGCTAGGGGCTCTTTGCAGACACTTATGTTCAGTTATAGCACTGAAAGACAACCTTTGCTATTCAATGTGACAGACTGTAGCAGGTATTATATCTGACACTACATGTGAGACTAGGACAATGGAAAATAAGGAAGAGATCAAGGTATTCTGAGGAACTGAAAGAATCTGCCAAAGAATCCAACCAAGTGCTGAGGGAAGATCCACTCAAAGGTCTTTGACTGGTATGAAGAGGGAATTAGAGTTGACAAAATAAATGGCTAATGTTTTGGTTTTATGTTTTTTGCAGAGATGGAACCTCCAGTGACACAGCTGAATATTTGTAGCAGCTGCAAATTCTCCGGGCCTCTTCCATCTGGATGCAGGATCCTTTTCTAGTGATATGACTGGCATTGCAATCCTTTGCATGCTTACTTAGAAGTAAGCATCATTCTTAATTCTAAGGAAGCATGACTAGGATTGCAAGATTTGGGGGAGTGGGTTGCATTACAGGTCTAAACTAACAGACTCATAAATACAACCTGGTGGGAATTATTTCTGAGTAAAATGAGCAGGCTTGCACTGTGGAAGGAGATGCCCCACCTAGACATCTCCAAGCTGGCCTTGAGTTTAACCTCTTATTCACTCATACGTAGGCCCTGGTATCAATACTGATCTTTCTGTCAGGTTTCACAACATTTTCCATAATCAGGGATAGCACCTCAACCCTCTAATGTATTCCCACTTGTGATTCCCATAGCCACTGGTTATGCTTTTCCCTGGACTGAAGTCTATCACACAAGTGCATCATTCCCAAATCATTTTTGTTTCTATGTCAGCAAAAACATTCCTGTTCAGCTACTGATTAGTTCAGTTTTTTACATAATTGTATACTTTACAATTAAATATCCAAATAAGAGGATATTTCAAAATGATACTTTTTGCTGATCAAATATGACATTACCACATGACCATGTCACATTTATGTCCAGATAAGAAAAAAAAAATAATCTTCTAAAAAGTGTTTCTCATGAATAGAAATCATAATCAATAAAAACAGTCTTTTTATCTGATGATTGGAACCACAGTCTGAAGATTTACTTCTGAATAAGGAGCTTTTCAAAAATGCAATGCAATCTTTGATATTTGTTAAGTGTTTTTTTTTTAATTTTGGCTTTTCTTTCAAATAGTCTAATAGCAGCCCATTTTAATGAGTTCCTTCTTTATCTTACACTGTTCCCTTTAAAAGATGAGATTGCCATCTGGACCAGTCTCGACTAAGAAATTTTGTTTGACCATGTCTAAAAATGTTCCTCCTCAACCAAAGATAGTGGGCATCTCAATGCCTCCCATCCCCACAGTATACATATATATATGCATTTGGAACAAATAGATCAGCATAGTTCAACAATGATTTCCATTTCAATAGTCAACATACAGAAAATTTCCCCAGCAATTCTTCATTAAAGTCCACTGGGACAAACACTACAACTTTCTAGGTACCCACTTCTTCAAAAATCTGAAACCAGCATAAAGAACCACTTCTCAACAAGTGTGTGTATCTTTGACATCCTTGTCATTAGTCATAACTTCTGAGAATTGTCCACATGTGCCTCAAATTCATATTGTTGTACAGAGACCAAAAGCAGAAATTGTTTGTACATAATGAATTTTATTTTGTATTATTGCCAACTCTTAAGATAATGTATTTTGGAGATCCTTAAGTCCTATTTTCTGTATTGTATTTTATTAAGAGTTATTGCGGGCTTTGCCTCTGTGGATTTACTCTCTTTGCAACGTACTGTTTCCATTCAGTCTAGCAGCTGATGTTTGCCCTGTTTGTTTCTAATATATCACTCTTTCCTTCTTCTCTTGGCTCTGCAGTCGCTTTCAAGCAGCAAAATTAAAAAAAGATGCAGCATCAGCTCTGTTGTTCAGATTGTTCATTATTTAACGGAGAGGTTATTAGTTTAGTAAATGTTTGTGTAGCCCCACTATCTATCTCTGAATGGTGACAGCTATGCCCTCCCATCATGAGCAGAGGTCTTCTACCAGAGCTGAAAGGGCTTCTCTGAGGGCTTGTGCAGAATTTGCATTACTGAGAAATTATGACAGCAGCTCCTCACTTCAATCTGTCTTTCCAATCCTGCAGCCACAGCCTGGTAATAATAAGCTATAATATTATGTATAATGGATGGAAGAAGTCATATTGCAGGAGACTTAATTTCACTCTTATGTGCAAAGGATATTTGCTTTCTAAAACAAATGAAAATATGTTTTCTAGTCACTGGGAAAGCAACAACAACAGAAAATGTTTTGGCACTAGCTCTGCTTTGCAATGGGAGAAGGCAAAATCTTGTTTTGATTCTGTTTTGTTCTTTTGGGGACTATACAACACTCCACAATTCAACTCTGAGCTACAGATATTTTCTTTTATTGGAACTAGTAATATGTATAAACTTCAGAGTAGCTTGCTTTTTTTAAAAAAAACCCATCTTTTTTATGTCTAGAAAAAGTCACAAGAGGTAAAGGGGTCGTCAACAGGTACTGCCTCTGGGAACTGCCCTATCGAGGCCCGTAGATAAATAGAATTTCACCCCATTGTCCCAGCAATTCCAACTAATACTGGCTTCCCATTGGTGATAGCAGCATGACTTGGGAGGAAGAAGTGGGCGTATAACTAATAACACATTATCTCTCAAGAAATCAAATGTGTCTAAGAGCTCTAAATAGTTCAATGTGGAAAAGTAGACTAGAAACTCTTTTGAGCTGTTCTCTTAAGGTACAACACCACAGCAATCTTAGGAATATTAAATTAAGAAGCTCGGCCTGCAAATAAAGACTTGCAGATCCTGCTTCAAAATATTCAAGTAATCTTTCAGCACTAAACACCCACTAATCTAAAAATATCACAGCCTCGAGGATGCTGCCAGCTTTTTCCATCATAAAATGTGAGCAAATCCTTGCAATCAGAGTACATATGAAGATTGTTTTCACAAGTTGCATGATAACCTGGTGTTCATATTTTTTTAATTTCCTGCATTTCAAGCTCAAATGAAAAAGGAAGCTTTGGTAATGATAATGAATACTCATTTTTTTTAAATGGCACTCTTCCTCTTTATAAATTTTAACATGAACAACGTTCACAGAACTGCACACAGTCATACATGTCAGAGCCCTTTGTCTGCAGGGATATGAAAACACACAGGATTAAGAACCACAATTAATTAGAAACTTTCATTTGAAAGGCCACTGAATTCCAGATCTAATCCAAGATGCTGGGCTACATTAGCCCTCAGTCTGGTCCAGCAGAAATATTTTGAATTTTTGCTCTCTTAAAATAGAAAATGTTCTTCACATCTCAAAAAGCAAGTGTAAACTGGGGAGAGAACTTAGCATGCTGGCTTCAGCAGTACAGTATTCCCATGGACAATGTAACTTTTTCTTATGTCTTTAGATCAACTTTGCTCATGCCATGGAAACTGGGGACACTTTCATTTTTGAAACAGTATACTTCCACATATGGAATAGAATAGAATAGAATAGAATAGAATAGAATAGAATAGAATAGAATAGAATAGAATAGAATATGGAAGGCACCAGGGAGTCCAACCCCTGCTCGAGCAGTAGATCCTATAACATTTCAGACTCTTTTTGAAAGCCTTCAGTGATGGAGCATCCCCAACTTCTGAAGGCAAGTTATTCCATTGGTTAATTGTTCTCACCGTTAGGAAATTTCTCCTTAGTTCTAGATTGCTTCTCTCCTTGGTTAGTTTCCTTTGGGTGCTTTGGAAAGTAGTTTGACCTCCTCGTCTTTGTAGGAGCCCCTCAAATATTGAAGCAATGCTATTATGTTACTCCTAGTCCTTCTTTTCATTAGACTAGACATGCCAATAGACTAGACATACCCAACTGCTTTTCATACATTTTAGCTTCCAGCCCCCTAATCATTTTGATAAGAGCTGTTCTGCATTTTTAATTTGGCTTCATAAATGTTTGATTACCATGAGCTTTCATCTAACTAGCAGAAGAGTTACTACAATAGGTATAAATCAGGAGGCACTACAGCATTTAAATACTGTTAAGGAAGATTTGTCCTTCTGATGAGCCCCTTTCCTCTATTGGCTCTGTACCATTGAGACCTCTGCAGGTACAATCTTTGTGGGATGTTTCATTCATAGTTTACCTTGCAGAAAACAGGGCGTACTGATCATATGTGCTGGTATGTTTTCAAAGGGACATAAGTTAATTCATATTTCAGTGCAATATACACAGTTTTGGGGAATGTTTTTGTCAAGAACAAAGAATTGATAAAGGGCACTGTACTTTAATGTGAAGTCTCATTGCTCGATTTGCTGCACATATATAGTATGATTTATAGTATCAATCTATAATATAATTTATCAGATGAACCAAATCACTGTATCAACCGGTTAATATATCCCTTATAAACCCATACTAACACAGGTTATGGTCACAATAGATAGATTTGCTAGGCAATAGATAGATTTGCAGTGAAATCAATCCTTATTGTTGTAAACAAATTTATATTTTAGTGTAATGGATGAACAGGAATGTGCTTCAACAAACCATGGTTTAGTGTAAACTGTAAACTCCACCAATGGTATTCCAAAATTAAACATAGGCTTTCATATTTAGAATAGAATAGAATAGAATAGAGCAGAGCAGAGCAGAGCAGAGCAGAGCAGAGCAGAGCAGAGCAGAACAGAACAGAACAGAATAGAATAGAATAGAATAGAAGGGACCTTATAAGTCATCTAGTCCCCCACCCACCCAAGCAAGAGTCCCTATACCATTTCTACACCAGTCCAGTCTCTTCTTGAAATCTTCCAGTAATGAAGCTCCCACAACTTCTGAAGGTAATCTATTCCATTTACAAATATTGTTATGGTACTTGTAGTTTTAAAGTATAATTGTCCTCCATTTGTTATTTAGTTGTGTCTTATTTGTTTAGCTAAGTTGCTTGCTAGAAATTTATTTTATTTATTTTATATCCTTTTATTATTTTTATAAATAACTCAAGGCAGTGAACATATATAATACTCCTCCTTTCATTGTCCCCACAACAACAACCCTATGAGGTGGCTTTCATGGCTAAGGCGGTATTAGAACTTATGGTCTTCCAGTTTCTAGCCTGGTACCTTAACCACTCTTATATTAATTTAAATTTACATTGGTTAAAGTGTCCTGTAACTCAGGTAATATAGAGAGAAATGTCAACACTAGGCCACATTACAATTCCCTTATTACCTGCACCCAAATGTGAGATCCAAACAGTTCTCATTCCTAGAATTCACATCCAAATGCTCCAATTCACTATTCAAGTGCTATTTTTTAAAAAAAAAAATACCTCATCCAGGTTTTTTTGTTTGAGCCATTACAGTTTCCATGTGCTGCTGCACATACAGCGTCTGTGGTTGAATGATGTGCCTACAGTAACTGTGGTTTAATGAACTCAATTCTTCAAGCTTATGTGACACACTGAACATTATTTACATAAGCTGTATTTTCACAATGCAAATTGTGATTGGCCAATTTATGACACGCAAACCCAGACAATGAGTTTTGGAGATGCAATATTCTCACATTTATTTATGGGTGCTGCTAGGGGAAAGTTCCACAATAGGTAAAGTTGGATTGTTTCTAGACATCTCCAAATTTACTAAAGGAAGAATAAAAGCTGGTTTGTGGATCAGATTGATTTATGAAGTTCACCAGAAAACAAACAAAGCTTGATACTAGGAACATGTTGTATCCAGGTTGAAAGCACTACGCTTACTGCCAATTGTTTATTGAACGTAATTTATGGCTTTAAACTGGAGCATGTGAAAAGGACCTTATGTCAGAATAGCTAAAGAACCATCTGTTTTAGCATGAACCTTATATGGGAGTTTAAATGTTTATATGTTACTTTATTGTTCATCCCCATGAGTATTCTGTGGATAAAAAGATGAAAAATAGATCACAATTTTTTTTTTAAAAAGGATCAAGGAGAAAATAGCAGGAAGGGGACCTAAATCTTAGTTTCCTGAACAGAACTGTTTTTGGGTTTTCAACCTCCACCTAATATACTAGAGAGGAACAAAATTAGCTTACACCTGATTCACAAATCAAAAACTGGCTAAGAAAAGCCATAGCAGCCTAGCATCAGCTGCTGCCCATAAATACATGACCATTGATCATTATGTTTCTAGCACCGCCTACTAGATATGAAGTACATGCCTCATACTTGCAATATTTAACGTGGTAAAAAGAAAGCCCATCCTATTTTGCGGATATGGTTTCTTGTGGAGAAGCCACGGGGCAAACATTAACTGGCTTTTTGGGGAACAATTTTCAGCAGTCATGTGATTTTAAGTATCATTTGGAAGAAGCTTTTTGCCAGCTTCTCATTCAAAGCCAAACTCCCACACCTGTGAATGATCTGGTGGTTATTTCCCCAATTAGGATTTCAACTGTCACGAGGGCAGGGCTCAAAGGTTGTCCCGTGACTGCCCTGTCAGCTGGGAGTTTTACATTCTGAGCCCAGGGCTTCTCATCCTGCCAAAGATTTGTGTTTACATTGTCTTATGGGAGCAGATGGAAGGCCAGTTTTATTTCACTTCCCTCTCAACACTTAACTTCTTTGCTCACAAGGGGATGTCACAACACCACTTTGTCTTCCTCGTTCCTGAGAAATATAAAGGTTGCAGGATGAAAACACACAATAATCATACTTGCTTTTTTGCTGCTCCTCGCCCTCCTCCAACTCCAACTAGGTTCCTGCAGAGGAATTACCAACTGACTGAAAAGAATTTGGCTCCAGTATCTTTTGCAGCAGTTTAATTTTCAGGGATCAGCACAGATAAATTTTCACATCCTACTGTAGAAAGAAATTATATTGCTC